CTGGATTTTACGTGCCGCGAATGCGGGAAAGCGCCCCGGGAAAACTGTCGCGCAGCGGCAATTTTCCTTAAAAAGCTGCACGCGCGTGTCCGGTGTTGTTGTCGCGAACAAAGTAAAAGTCCGGGCGGTACAAAGAGACGTTCGATGGCTTTCCGATACGTGGTAAAGCAACGCCCCAATATGTAGTAAAACAAGACGCAAAATTGGCAAAACAAGACGCACATATTATCGCCGAGAGAACGACCGGTGTATATCTTCTCTTTCTTCCATCGTAAGACAGACTGTGAAGGGATCCGAGCATATTTTCCGAACTCGCGAGGAAACGGCAATTCTTCGAACCGACATCTAAGTCGCGCGACACGAACGAACAATTTGAGTCATTAAATTGAACGATAAAGACGAAATAAATGAACTTCCGCAAATTTCCAAGTATACTTTCCGACATACATCCCGAGTGCTAACGTGAGCTGGATTCCTCTTCGTTTGCATCGCGCGCAAAACATCTTGCCAGGGTCCCCGTGAGAAAGAAGAAGCCTTCGGCCTCTCCACGAAGGTAAATTGAATCGCCGCAATTTTCCTACCATGCGTCTTATTTTGTCAGTTTGGCCGCGATATTTACTTGTCTTTCTCTTTTCTCACGCGTCCCCGTGAGTAACTTCGGCCCCTGCACGAAGATAAATTTAATCGCCGCAATTTTCAACGCGTCTGATTTTCCGCTTGTCAGTTTGCCTGGCGCGGCGGGTATTTATTTGTCTTTCTCTTTTCTTAGGCACACGTGCATTCCCACAGCGCGCTTACGTCGCAACTTTGCGCGGCGAGGAATGTCTCCGCTGTACTTTCTTACCCTTTTGGATCTCGTCGCAAAGGAGGAAAACTCCGGAGCGCTTCCCTAGCCGCAACGGAATAGCAGCGCGGGAGAAAAGCCCACGCCGAAAGACGCGGTCGGAGCAAACTCGATATCGAATTTTCTCGGTACATAACACACGCGAGATGAATTCACGGCGTCGCGTCGTTTCGGTTCACGTACGCGGACCAATAAATATTTAATGTGCGCGTAATGTACCGGGTGTACCGTGCCATCTTTCAGTCCCTCCGGTCGCTACTTTCAGTCGCGATTTTTCTCCACGCGAGAAAACTTGGACGCGGTCGTCATTCGTCGCGCGCGCGACCCTCTTCCTCGTATTGTCTTTTCAAAAATTTCGTCGTGCTGTGACATCTTTGCAACCAGAAAAATATAATCTCATCTTCAGCGGAGTCCTCTAAATCTAAAGAATTTTCTCAAAAGATGACATGAGTCAAAGATAAACCAAGAATTTCTTTTATGGGCTCTCTGTCTTTTACACACAAAATGATTGTTTTAAAACCAAATAAAAAATATGCTAAGTACAATATTCTTAAAGTTAGAGGAATTTTTTGTCTTTTATTTACAGTACATGTCTTGTTCTTACGAAAATTTCTTCCAATAAGAGGACATTCTGCTTAAAGTAAATACATTCCTCTAGATTCAAAAGGAAAAATGTTAAAGCAATATCTAGATTTCCGATTAACAGAATCAGATTCATTAGAAATATAGTCTTTCGGTGAGAGTCTCCGCTGAGAATATGAGATCGCAGGAAATAGCAACTTGCGACTGAAGTTCCCTTCCTGGGTGTAACGCGCACGAATGAAGAAAGAATATTCTCAAAATCTCGTTATGATTAGTAGGTGAAATATCTCGCGCAGCGAGGGAGCGATAGAGGGAAGATCGCGGAACAGTTTTCCGGCGTCTGATTTTCCTGAATATCGCGTCCGTTTCTCGTAATTTGTATCGCTCACGCAGAAAACACATCTAGACGCGCCATGATCGACGACGCAGCTTCCTGTAGAAATAAAAGCATCGTGAGGAGCGAGCGCGCCCGTCGTAAGTTCGCGTCGATATAGAAGCGAGAATATCTTCGCGTGTTTCGCGGCACATAATTCATCCCTGCTATGATGTTTCACATTGTTCATCCCCGCGCGATACTTTACGATAACTTTCGCTCGAGATGTTTTCGGTGTCGCGGGAAACGGGGGGAGAAGGAGGGGGAGAGGAAATTTTCATTTTAACGCTCGTATTCGACGCACAGCCGACTGAAGCGTTTCGCTGCGAAGCGCACCGATCCCGATCTTCTTTTTGACGTCAAATTTTCCTTTCTCGATGAGCTTTCTGATTAAGTCTCGACCGAAAATATAATTACACAAATCCGATGAGCCACAGCGACCGCGATCCCACACATGATTGGTATTTTTACTCAAATGATTCGACGATCCATTTGTTCGCTCGTACGGCCGAGTCGCCCGATAACTCAATCAGCGACGATTTCTCCGAGACCGGACTCACGTCAAGTCGTATCAACGTCTGACATTTTTGTGATAAATGGACGACTTCGTGGAGATATCGGCCTGTTTTACGAGAGCACTGAAACTCTCTCCGTATCAGACCGGCATCAATCACTTCGATTCACGCCCAGTGTTTCCGGGCATCCTTCGATCCACTTGGGATAATCCTGACGGATATACCCCGCGAATGAGATCCTTCATCCATATCATGAGGACGCGTCAGATTAAATGAGGGGAAAATTTGCACTCGTCTCTCTCAAAACACGAGCGGCGTCGAGGAAACGGCACTTTAGCCGGTCGCAATAACAGCAGGTCTTCGGGATCTTCAAAATCCTCGCGACACTGAGAGAAATTATCCAATTTATATTAACAAACGGATATTTTCGATGAAATTCCGATCAATTTTTATATTTGATTAGGATTAAATGTTATCGGATACTTCTGATCATAATGGCGTTTCATCAGATAAACCAATCAGAAAATTATGAATCGATATTTTTCTCATCAAATGTTTTCTGATCGGATACAAAAGTTTATCGGTGTTTTGATCGGAAATATCCATTTCTTAATTTTTTATCGGACAATTTCTCTCAGTGAATTCAAGTGATCTTTTACTCATACAGTTTGAATCGTCGAGTGAATATTCTCGCTCGAGATTTAAGAGTGACTATGATGTACTCCATCGTCAGTGGAATGTATTCGCTATAATTGATTGAAACATTCACTCGGCATTCATACGGAGGCAGGATCCTCTCAGAGCTTGATTGAAACATCAAACCCTTCGATTTCGAGTAGCAATATTTTCGCTATCACTTTGAGCGAAAATACTGCCACTTCTCGTTCGTTTGGAGTGAGACTTCATCCCGTGGAATTTAGAGAGTGAGCCGGGCGGAGCCATGAACTCTAAGCGAAGTTATGTATAAACTATATTGTTACGATCTCGCGAATTCGTTATACCGAACACGTAGCGCACCGCTTCTACTTCCCATGTGCCTAATTTTCCACGCTGATTATAGCCAGCCTCCCCCCCGCGGCTTTGAATATTCATTGCGCGTACTTCGCACGGTTCCGACAACTCTCTTTGACGCCGAAATCTCTTTGTACAGGTAGGGATCGATGTTTTAGCAGTTCATTCGTAATACACGACCCCCGAACGTCGCGAATGCATACTTCGCGGACTATTAAAGCCAACTAAGCCGACTTCCCTTTGTATTTCCGCGCGTGTCACGTTAATTTATAATCTCACGATTATTCCGCAGTGATCGAGCGATAGCTCGATCTTTGAGTCAGGCCGCTGTTTATAATTTCGCGCGTGATTTCCGGGGAATATGGGATCGTATAATGTTTCGCGACGCGTTTCATATCCGCAGCTCGTTCGATTTCATCGATCTCGTGCCGCCTGATATTTCGCTCGCGCGAAAGACGCGCTGAATTTCGATATTCTTAAACGCTGATAAAAAATTCGGAAGGCCCATGCGTAACGGGGAGTATGCGGGGCGCGTGCATATGGATGAGAGAGCGAACGAGCGCCCGCGGAAATTCGTTTGATTGCGTCCCCCCGACGCAAGATACAAATATATACATAGCGCGCACAACCTACGTAACTCAGCTCCGAATTTCTCGCTGGTTGATTCTCCCGCGTCGTCGATCCGCGAACTTATTTGCCGCGCAATGAATATTCTCTCGCTGATCTTTTTTTTCATTTTTTTTTTTTTCTTGTCAAACCGAACCTGACGAGAGTTCGCGATATCTTCGACAATCTGCTCGTCTCGATAACGCGATTCAATTTCCTAGATAGAGGAAACACGTTTCTGTAACGTATACAAATGTATTTCCGCAAGTCTCAGCACCCTTATCGAGAGAGTCGACCTCTCTCGCGAAGGAAAATTCCACCTGAATGCGCGTCGCACTGTTCTTAAATTCCTTCTGTTTAAGCGATAAACGAATTTACGTGCTTTTTTATTATAAACCCGTGTTGAGAGTAAAACATCTAATTATTGATTGATCCCCCTCAGTCATTAACACTCTAGACTAATCTAATTTCTCTTACGACCAGCGATGGTTGTTCACTGCACTTTAATAGCACCATTTTTGCAACTTTTATTCCGAATCCGAGTCTAAAACATTCAATCATTTACATCCAATTATTGATCCCCATTAATTGCTGACATTCTACATGAACTTGATTTCTATTGCAACCAAGGGCAGTTTCTTATTTCAGTTGTGAACATAGTTTTAGTTTTGAATTTCTTTTTTGCAATCATATAGTGCAGGCAAGAACTGTAACTGCAATACTAGTCTTAACTACTAAATTAATACTAAAAATATTAAAACTAGTATTAAAAATTAATACTAGTTTTAATAATTAAGTATTTTGCTCTACTTTTGTCTACTGAAACGACGTATTTAAATCAGCAAGCTCTGTCAATTAAAAAGGAGGACGTAATTAGCTGCTGTCAGTCAGCTATTTAGTGAATTACATTCGACTTGGTAATTGCGCGATCTCTCTCTCTCTCTCTCTCTTTCTGTCTTTCTCTCTCTCGACAAGATTAAAACTAATGAATAAAATTAAGTGAATTCTATAGAAAGAACCAAATTGTAAATGCAAATAAACCGCGAATGTTCTTTCTCTTCCTTTCCAGACGGACTACAATCGGCATCTGGAACAGCTGTTCGAGCGCGTGGCGACGCTGCTTATCGACACTCTGCGAACGAAGATAACTGTGAACAAATTGAAACAAGTTGCCAAGCTCCACGAACACCTGGATCGAGTGCGACGCTCGTTCGGTAAGTAAACGAAATGGTGTCCCATTGCGGAGGACACTTTCTCTCGCGCGAGAGAAAAAGCGAGAGAAGTGGGAACCGATCCTCTTCGCGATTGGAAATAATAAAATCTTATCACTCGCCATCCGTTTTCGACCAGACGAAAACGTGGCCGGCAGGACGATGGCCGCGGAGACCCAGCTGTTCCTGCGTAAAATCCAGGAACTGTCGGACTTGACCTCGACGTTGGAGACCTGGGAGCCCAACCTCGAATCGGAACTGCAGGACATTCAGTCCAGATTGAGAAATTTGTCAGTCCATGTCAAGCGTGATAAATGCCTGAACGCCGGTGGGAAGTTTGAATGGGTGGACAGCGTGTTGGTGAAGGTACGCGATGTGCTTCCGCAGCTTTCACAGAGACAGGACGCTCTTTGCTTTATTTCTTTTTGTTTCGACGACGGAATCACTTCAGATTGCTCGATGTCGCTCGGAAAGGCTGAAGCTTGATTCAGGCAACTTTTAGGGCAACCATATTCCTTACGACGTTACTCAAATATTTTGCACACCACGAGCGATAAAATCGTAACGTTTAGAACTTTACCTCGCGCCGCCTATTCCTCTCGATACTTTAACCTTGACACGTGATAATGTAGGTGCTACGAAAGTTTTAATGGAACCAAAAATTGTGGCCACCGAAGAACTTTCGGAAACACGCGAAGCCACTCCACTCACACGCGTTCGCATTTTCGTCATATTAAATTATAATATTTCACGCGTTACACTTTCTTCTCGTTCGCCTTTCGAAAATTATAGCGAAAGTTTAACAAATTTTGCGCACAAGCGCTTGGACACCGAAATCCAAATACCTTTGTACACATTCGAAAAAAAATCATACGCAGAAATAAAGTCTCATATCGTGCGGTCGGCGAAATGTTCGCATAATCTAAACGCGATATCTTTTTAGTGCTTGCAAGATGGAACTTGGCTGCTCATCGACCAGGTTAATCTGTGCAGCCCGGCTGTATTAGACAGACTTAATGGACTGTTAGAGCCGAATGGTGTTCTCAGTATCGGCGAGCGAGGCGTCGACAACGACGGCAATGTCGTCACCATCAAGCCTCACGAAAACTTCCGGCTGTTCTTAACTATGGATCCTCGATACGGCGAAATCTCCAGGTAATGTTTTTCCTCGATTCCGACTCAGTAACTCTCGTCAAATAATCGCATTCTTTTTAGCTAAACTGTCTGAACTAATATACACTGATGCAGTAAATTGGGGTAAGACAAATATATTTTGTTTCAACTCTAACTTATTGCAACAGTCTGCACCAGTTCAGGCAGTTCAACTAAAAAGAACAGACATAATTAATGGCGTGGTGTTGATGACGTTTAGCGTAACATTGCGCGACAGCTCCTGGTAGGTCGTAACGCACGAATGCCAATAACGAGCGGCATGATTTTAGGGCCATGCGTAACCGAGGCGTCGAGATTTACATGCTCGGTTCGAGAGAGAAGGTCGATCACGACGCGATCGATCTCAAGTCGCTGCTATTCAACGCGGGTATCACGAGACCGGCGCGTCGGGACGCGCTACTCGCGATCCACGACAAAGTGTCGCAGGAGATGGTCGCGGTGGATCGTCTGAGCGCGGTCGATCTGTTGCACGCCGCGTTCTTGGTGAGGCAACGATCGCTGCGCGGATTCCCGGCGGAGCAATCGATCAGGGACGCGTGCATCGACGTGTACGTGAAAGCCAGGCCGACGATCCGCGACCCGCGATACCGAGAACACCTGATTGCTCTGATTGACGAGATAATCGAGCAAGTATTGAGCTCACGCGACGAAGAGATCTCGCCGATCGACGTGGACGCCGCCACGTGGAGCGTGAAGAATCTGCAGGACAACTCGGCGCTCACCTTGATCAGGCAGCAAGGATTGCTGCTGAATACAGCCGTCAGGATGTGCCGATCGCGTCTGACATTTGGTGCGACGAATGCCGAAGGAGTTGATATCAAATCATTAAATGTCTTCTGCGATCTTCAAGTGGACGGAGAGACATTGAATGTCGACATTAGGGATATTTTGTTGCATCTCCTACTCAACTTTTACGAGCAGTCCTCGCGAGACGATACTCCGCTGAGGAAGGATTGGATCTCGAAGACGCTGCGGGAGAACAGGTCGGTCGACAAACTCGAGGAGAAGAATGCGTTAATGGCAGAAGAGATTAAGTCTTTTCGTTTTCGATCTGCGAACGCGAACACCTCGTTGCCTTGGGATCAATGGTGGCTCGTGGGAAAAACGGTCGAAAACGAAAACATTGGTAATGACTCGAGCAAATTGGCACTTTTGCTATACACAAGTAGCGTGATACTTGGAGGACACGACGCGACTCGAACGGACGTGGAGAAGCTGAAAAACGGAGACGTGATATCCGTCAAGCAGTACTCCGACATCGTACGTCACGGTAAGTATTCGAACGCATCAATGACAACGTTTAATCGTGTCGAGGATCTCGCGTCTTGGCAAAAACGGTGTCGCCAAGTTTCGAGTCTCGAGAGATTGTCGTTTCCTGCAGAACAAAGTTGCAAAGTTTAGCACGGGCTATAAATCGCAGGTAATGCGCTTTTAATGACATTGTAACATGAAGTTTACTCGCCAGAATAATTTAATGTCCGAGTGAGAATCTAAAATTTATTTATTTACAAAAAAATATTATTCCTTCAGTACAACACATAAATTCCAATCAGGTGACAAGTATAAATTTTATAAAAGCATATTAATGACACAAAAATTGTAATATAAAAAGCAGCAGACTATAAAAAATCAATTAAATTATATATATTTGTATGATTATCGATAAAATGTTTACTCTCAAGGATGCTCTTCTATATGTTTCTGATTTGTTAATTTTAAGTCGCCTACCTTCGTTCTAAGATCCAATGTTCTCACTAATTTAAGAGATTACCATAAACTCTTTCACTCGCAGGCAAGCTATTCTCGCAGTTGAAAAATCAGCCGCTCATCACGCACTTTGTGGAGTTCCTTCAGCGCGCAAACTCGTGCATCGACGCAATCCTGCGCGACGGTAACATGAGCGTGAGCCCGGATGTATATGTCGAACTGAGAAGACATCTCAGATGGTACACGAGATTCGAAAGATTGGGCGAGACGATGCTAGTGGACAAGTCGAAAAAGTCCAAGAACGTGTTCATCAATTTGAAACAGACCTCCACGCTGCTGAGAGTGCACTACAAGTGGCTGCTGAAATTCCTACGGAAGCTGTGCGAAATGATCAACGAGTTCACGCCGTGTCAGAAGACGGTGAACGAAATCGAGTCGTTGATAGAGATGAAGAACGACCTGAATCACCAACTGCAGTCGGTTTACAATCCCGTCCAGAAGATCTCGAAGAGAATCAAGAAATACTTGACACTTCCACTGCCTCACCCTTCGGAGATCAGCATGAACGTACACTCGGAACTCGGCGAGATAACGAAGGATCTTGAGGCACGGGACGAGACGGGCAATACCCTGAAACGAGAGCTGAAGATCGTGTCTGTGCAGTTGAATGAGGGTCCGGCAATGAGACGTCAAACGATCTCACTGTGGAGCGACGTTCACTCCTTGAAAGCGATCGACGAGGAAACCTTGGAGACTGTGCTGACAGTGAAACGATTCTGCGACGACAGTCACATTCGTCTGCGAACTCCCGCGGAAATCGAGAGCGTTCGTGACCAAGTGAGCTTACTTCCGGCCGGGGAAATGACTCAGTTAAACGCAAGAACGCAGCTGTGGCCGATCTACGAGCACATGTTTTTGTCGCTCGCTTCCTCGCTGCAGGGAAAAATGTGTCTAGAAGAGACTATTCCTGCCGCCATCATTGAGCAGTGTCTCGCAAGATATGCGGATATAGCCAGCATTCCGAGCGATCTGATGGGCCTGTTGACCGCGATGACTCGGACGGAAATCGAGCAAAGACAAAGTCTATTGCCGCTACTGTTTTATCAGCTGGCGCATTTCGCTCAGCGATCTTACGCTATTCAGGATTCGAGCTTGCTTCTGCAGTGGCGCGGTGTAACCGAGGAAGAGGACGTGGAGAGCTCGTTGACTGCCTATAGTGCACCAAAGGTATGTAACTTACAAAATTTTTCTATACTGAAAAAAATATTGAAAAAATAGTATTTTTTTATGACTAATAATATATGTTTACTTAAATCTAAATTCTTTTATTTAAATAGAATAAAAACAATGATCTTCATGAAAAGCTCAATGAAAGTCTCAATGAAAAGCTAAATTTTCTTAAGGTTTTAAAAAAATGCATTTTTTTTATTTGAAAAATACTTTATATTGGTACAAGTAAATATGTAATTTTTATTCACTGCGAATAAATAGTTACCATTTTTTAGATATTTTTTTTTCAATGCAAAGAACTTATGCAGGATATTTTTAAGATATTTGTGTCAGTCAAAAATTTCTACTTCCTCACTTATTGTTGACGCAATAAATCATTATAATAAATGTTTCTACACACCATAGTATGTTTGAGAAATTATATATCGAATATTTGTTATGTAATATCATATATATTATGTTTATTAATAATATTAGTAATGTTTATGTATATTTGGAAATTGAGTGTTCTTGGGCATATAACTTTTCGCGTGCTTTCTGAAATTCCTCGAAAGAAATCGTCATAGAAATATATCGTGTATTAATTCTTGTTTATTAATAATAATAGATGGAATGCTATTCCGGCGAGCCGATACTCCTGAACCTGATACTACGCTTGATATTGAGCAAAACGGTTCGCGAGAAAGAGAAGAGCGTTCTCTCGACGGTCGCGCTAGGAACGTACGCCGCGCAGACGAGTCAGTTACAGCTGCTGAATGAAATCTTATGGCGTAACAGTATCTCGTTAACGCACAATTCAGCCCGCAGCGACCTGATAACGTTGAAGTATTATTCGCGCTTGTACTTATCCGCGATTGATCGGATGAACAGCGAACATAACGTGGCTAGTCTAATCGCGTCAGTCTTGGAGAAGCAGGGTGAAAATCGTGGGACCAGCATGGAACACACGTTACGGGTCGACTACTTTGAACCGATAGAAGAGTTGCACAAAGCATACGACATGATAAATAATCTCGATGAGAAGAACGCCGACGAAGATGAGGGTACGCTCCGTCGCGGCAGAACCTGGATGTTGCTCGGTTATGTGCAGTTTTTGCTCTTCGGCAACCTAGACACGATCGATCCCGTACACAAGGTGGAGCTGAAGCTCAAGTATCTGGACGAGGACATTGTCGATTGCGAGAGAACGATGTACGTAGCGACGTTGCAGAGTCGCGTTCTAGGCGTGAACGCCCTCGCTCACCCACGACTCGTGTCCATGAGAAATTGCAGCGAATTCTTGTTGAAAACGCGTGATGAGTTTAGTTGTCTGAAAACGTTTCGACCGCCGTCCGTTGACTTCATTTCGCTGAACAGACAGTGCGCACATTTCCGGGAAAGCGTGGGTACCTACAAGCTGGTAGAGAAGCACATGAACAAACTGTGCACGATCGCCAGCGAGATCAACGAGAACTCCCACAACTCTGGTGTTCTCGCACAAGCGGACAATGCTTTGCAAGAAGCGCAGGTCTGGAGCTTCTCGATACAACGCTTTGCTGAGCAGCTCAAGACGAAGTATCTGTTCGCATACCCGGACGTGATCCATCCGCTGTTGACTGGTCTGGCGCAATTAAGGCATGGCGTGTGCGTGCTCGTCAACGAGATCAGACGACTGGTTTCTTCATGCAGAAGCGGAGTACTCGGTCTCAGTTCCGAGATACACAACTTGATCCGCTTCCCGACGATCGGCCCGTGCCAAGAAAGTCTCCTGGATCTAAGCATCCGGTGCGCCTCCAGGAACATGCGGCTTCTGATCGACAGAAACTCCTGCTCGGACGCGTTCATCAGGATGCAGGAGCAATTCCGAATACTGAAATCAGGTTTGCATGAATTGTATAACCACGCGATCCTCAGCAGGAGCTTGACAAGGTCGTTGTGGCAGAACATGGACAATTTGCTGCGACAGATAGTCTTGGTTTGGAAGCAGCAACAGCAGGAGGAAGAGAAACGCGCCGCGGAGAAGGACAGTCTGTACAAGAACAAGATCGAGACTTACAGTAGCGAGTTGACAGAAGAACAGGAGCTCGTCCTGGAAATTCGCCAGTTGTTCCCGACGCATCGCGACAGTGACTTCCAGGACATAGATGACGAGTCAGAGCCCAGTCTTGAACGGAGAAATCCGTCTCCGGAGACGGAAAAAATCGAAAGCTTGAGAGGTCTCATCGGTAAAGATGATATCTGGGAGATCCAACGAATCCACTCGGACATGGTCACGTCTCTCGTTGCATGCAAGTGGAAGTGCAACGACATCACTTCAATATCTACGTCGACGAATTACGTTGGGCCGTTGATCCAGAGATACGATACGGTACACAGCATGCTCGACAATGTATTGCCGGCTTTGAACGAAGGACTTACGATCAAGTTGTACAACAGCTTAAACTTGTTGGTTACTCTACGACTGCAGACCAACCAAGAGAGAAGTGCGGAACGCGCAAAGACATACGACTTCTATAAGGATTGCAACATCGAGGAAGTGAAGCAGTGTTTACCTGTGTGCGAGAATATCCTGAATCGCGTCGATCAGCTGCTGCAGGAGTGGCCGGCTCATCCTACTCTGAAATCAATACAATCTATAATCGAGAGGATCTATACGTTCCCCATCATCTCAGCCGTGTCCAGATTCCTCACGGGTTTAGAACTGCTGCTCGTCAAGATGCATCAATGGGAAGAGAATGCTCACAGTGGTGTCAGCATGGCGGACCATGTATCAGCATTGGCGCAGCAGATAATATCATGGAGAAAGTTGGAGCTGTCCTGTTGGAAAGGCTGTCTGGACGCCACGTTCAACAGCCTCAGATCAAACACATCTAAGTGGTGGTTTTTCTTGTATGCGTTGATCGAGAGTTATATCCGCGAGGATGTCGAAGGAGAAGCGAGCGACGAACCTATCACCAGGAAAAAGTTGGTGGAATCGTTGGAGCGATTCATGCACGAATCGCCCCTCGTCGAATTTGAACCACGATTGCAGCTACTCTTGACGTTTCACTGCCACGTGTACCACTTGGAAAACAGCGAACGCAAGGACGAACTCGCAGCCGTGTTGTGGAATGTATATAAATACTACAAGCAGTTTGTAGGCGACGTAACTGCGAGGATCGCCGCTCTGAAAGCTCCCATCGAGAAGAAGCTGCGGGACTTCGTTAAGATCGCTCGATGGAACGACATCAGCTACTGGGCGGTGCAAAAAGCAGTCGAGAAGACACATCGCACTTTGCACAAGTTCGTAAAGGAATTCCAGAACGTTCTCAAACAGAACGTGTCTTCCTGCTTGATCGTGAAATCAAGCTCATACAACGCCGAGATCAGCAAAGGGATCTGGGACGATCAGGACCACCGCAAGTACTTGATAGATCCCATAGACTTCGCAGCGGCAAAGCCTTCGCAACTCGTAGAGGTGAGAACGCTGTCCGTGAGCAATCTCATCGTGAAAACCGAGACTCTACAATTGAAAGCCATAAAACTGTGCAAGGAAATAATCCTAACGAGTTCCTATCCGTGCGCGCGGGCGGAGGTCGAGAACTTCATCGAGAGTTTCTTAGAGCGGAGCGCGCGTCTTCGCGACATGAACATCGACCGAAACTCACCGAAGAGCAAGCAGAAGTCGCAAGCGAAGAGTATCCTGCAGCAGAAGAGGATGACGCTTGCCAATTATTTCAAGACGTTAACTCGCATAGGCGTATCGTATCGCACCGGTATGTTGACGTTGAAGAACAACACGGACAAGGTGATGGACTTCACGGTGTCTCCTCTGGATCTGTCTGTAATCAACCAATATTTTAAACTGAAGAATATCGACCAGCACATGTTGACGCAGTGGCGCGACTGCGACAAATACTACTACAAGTCCCTCATCAGACTGAACGCCTTGAATGCGATGTTCAACACGAGCCAGACCGACCTGGGGCCGCAGAATATGGAGCGTTGCCGTGGATGCTCCGCGCACATAATGCTGATGACTCACCGGCAAAAGAAGATAATCGCCCAGTCGTTCGACTACTTCTCGTCGCTTCGCGTGTCGCTCTCGAATCTGTCCGAGACAAACGAGAAGGATTTGAGTCCGACGAGACAACGCGCCGGCCGAGAATGCGCGACATATCTGAAGGCGTTACTAGTGACGTTGGAGGCTGGATTCGAGCAGCTGTTGCTGTTCCTGCAATGCTGCCCGGCAAATGCCGAATCGACAACGGACGCGTGCACAGCCGCGCTCACGTTGAATGCAAACGCGCTCCCCATAATCGCCGCTTCTCAAGACGACGAGGTATGGAAAAATGCAAACGCTCTGTTAAAAAACTGTCTGGACTCGATCAAAGTCACCGCGATTCGTTTCCGCGCCTTGTTCTTGCCGTTGGAAATGTCGACGGATGATTTTGAATGCGACGCACGAGTCGTGCTCTTCAATTCCAAACACTTTGAATTCCTGGAGCAGTGTCGCTCCTTGACTGAGGACTTGAGAACGCAATGTGGAGAGTTGAGACGTCTATTCGAGAGCACGAACGTTGCGCATCCTATTTTGGAGAATGTAACATTTCTGGACGAGAAGATGGAGTGTTTTGCGCGCGCGCTTCGTGAATTCGACCATCTGCGAAAATCCACGGAATTCGAGAATGAAAAGCAGCCAGTAGAGAACGACGAGGCCGTTCGTCAATATGAGTCCGCGCTGGAGCACTTGATAAACACGACGTTGCTCGTCATACAGAAGAAATATAAGGATCACACTAATTTTGACGACGTTACTCCCACGAATGAGGAGCCGACAAGGGAAAACGAAGAAAATGATGGCGATGCGAGTGAGGAAGAAATCGAGGAAGGTAGACTGAAGGAGACACTCGTTGAAGGCCTCAAGAAGGATATAGTAGATCTGAAATTACCTAAAATATCCGAGTTATTTGCCGGTCTCTTATCGTCGATACAAGAGCTTGATCCACGATCAGCGAATCATTGTATCAGGTGAGAATTGTTTCATTGTTTCATATTAAGATATGCATGTAACTGTAAAGTACAACAAAAATTAAATGAAAATATTCTACAATAAAAACTAATCGGTGAACTAATAAATGTTGTAACTTTCAGACTACTTTTGAAATGTTCACCGTTGCTGGAACAATATATTCTGCTCGTGCAGTTTTATCTAAACGAACAAGTAGCGTCTTTCCGCGTTACGTGCAAGCTGTTATACTTGCAACTGAATGTTTTCCTGGACTTGGCTACAAACGGATTCTGCGTGCCGAAGGATCTAGATTTTGAGGAAGGCGAGACGGATGAATCGGGTCAGAAGACGGACAAGGGCGGGTTGGGTTTGGCGGACGGCGAAGGAACGAAAGACGTTTCCGACAGGATAGAGTCCGAAGATCAGCTCGAGGATGCGAGACCCGCAGATCAAGACCAAGAGAAGGAGGAAGATAAAACCTGCAAGGAGGAAGAAAAGGGTATCGACATGTCTGAAGATTTCGACAGCAAGCTTCAGGATATGGAGAAAGGCGATGATAATGAGGAACAGAGTGATGACGACGAAGAGAACGACTTGGACAAGGAAATGGGAGAGACAGGAGAGGGCGCCGAACATCTTGACAAAGAAATCTGGGGTGACGACAAAGAGGAAGACGACAACCAGCAAAAGGACGAAGGTGAAGAAGGAACGGGCGAACAAATTGGTGAGAAGGAAATCGGCGCAAAAGACGACAAATCGAGGCAAAACGATAATGACAATGATATGGATCGCGAAGAAGATCAACGAGAGGAAGAGAAGAAAGAGATAAACGAGCTCAATGAGCCAGAAATAGATGAAGATCAGATCGATCCGTATCATGGTAAACACCAGCCTGAACCGGAACCAGAACCATTCGACTTACCAGAAGATCTAAATTTAGACGAGGACGGTAAGGAGGACAATGGCGGTGAAGAGGAGGATCCGTTTGACATCGACGCAATGAAGGATTCTAAACCACCACCAGAGAAGATGGACGTGGATCTCGACGAAGAAACCGAAAAGAACGACAAGAACGACCCGAGCGAGAATGCCAGCGAAGGCGAAGACGAAAATGACGAGAATGTGAACAAGGAAAATCAGCAACAAGAGACGGAGGATCTCGAAGCTGACAAAGAGGAGACCGGAGAGGACAATAAAGAAGGCAAGGAATCCACGAACAAAGATGACGAGGATGAACATGGAGAGGAAGAAGCGAAAGAGGAGAATCTGCGAGAGAAAGCAGCGCCGAGTGCAGACGATGCGAGCAAACAAATAGACGCCGCACAGCAGATTGAGGAAACGAAAGAAGGTTCGCGAGACGCGGTGGCACAAACACCAAACAACGAAGACCGACAAGAAACGTCAGCGGAGAACACTCAAGAGGAGAAGGACGACACAGGCACCGGTCAGTCACAATCGACGCAACAGGAGAGCGGACATTCAGGTTCTGCCAAAGAGAGGACAGCTCCGGTTTCGCAGAGAGACGAGGCGACAAAACCGGCCGAGAAGAGGAAGAATCCAGGCGAGAGCAACGAGGACCGCAGTCTGCTCGATAAATTCATGCCGACACCGAAGAAGTTGAGGACGATCTACACGCCGGATGAAATATCGAACAATGAGAAAGAAGACGAGCCGGGTGACGCTGATGGTAACAAAGCAGAAATGTGCCAACACGTGAAAGATTCCGAGACTTTCGACGATTACACGATGGACGCCGCAACGGAGGATCAGGTGAAACAGCAAGCTTCCAACACGAAGGAAGACGAAGAGAATCGCGAAGAGCAAGAGGACGACGCTATGGATGTGGAGATGCACAAAGAAGATGAAGAGAACGTCGTAGATGACAAGGTAACTGAGCAAAGATCTGAAAAAGTGTCCCAAGCCACGGAGGACAAACGCAAAAAAGAATCGGACCATGGAGGAAATAACGTAGAAAACAATCAGATGGATACGATAATCGAATTGGAGGGAGACTCGGTGAAGACAATGACAGTGCAAAGAGGTAACGAGTCTACGTTCCATACGTCGGTGACAAACTGGGAGGATAACGAACTTAGTTGTCACATGGAAAAGAAACGATTTGAAGTAGAGAAGATGCTAGGCGAATGGAAGCAGAAGCCAACCACAGAGGAAGCCGCGACCGCGTGGAATTGTCTGTCTTCGGTTACGGACACAGCCGCCAGAGATTTGTCAGAGAAATTGAGGCTGGTATTGGAGCCTACGCAAGCATCGAGGTTGAAAGGCGATTACAAGACGGGCAAGCGCATCAACATGAGGAAGATCATTCCCTATATAGCTAGCCAGTTCCGCAAGGATAAAATCTGGTTGAGGCGCACAAAGCCTTCGAAACGCGACTACCAAATTGTTCTAGCGCTCGACGACTCCAAAAGCATGGCGAATAACCATGCTCAAGAAATGGCCTTTGAATCCCTGTCACTGATATGTAAAGCTATGACGTATCTGGAAGTAGGACAACTTGGTGTTGTAAGCTTTGGGGAGCAAGTACAGGTGTTGCATCCTTTGGGAGAAACTTTCACCGAACAAAGTGGATCTAGGTACAAATTCTATTTTCTTTTCCTAATTTAAATGTGTAGTTAAATTTAACGTTCAAATTGAATGGCTTGATATTTCATTTTGTTTTATCCGACAACAGAAATGTTGAAGCTATAGGTTTGTTCTTTCGACCTGACCTAGGGCTGCACTGGAACTGTACTAGTTGAAGAAAGTTCAAGATAGTGCAGACCAGTGCAAAGATACATATGGGTCTGAAAAGAACGGGTAAGAGCAAGTTAGAGCAGTGTAAGATGGCGGACAACATGGCACGATTAAATAACATAGATCAATTTATGGTCATGTTTTCGCACTTATAGCATTTTATGTTTTGTTGAACAATCCTATTTCTTTTAAAAACTGTTTTGTGTTGGATACCCATACAACAAATCCCTCCGAAAAAACGTCCAAGAGCCTTCCCAGGATGTCTTTCGGATATTTTGTGCTGTTTGGATAACATTCTAAATACTTCTTTTATGTCATTCTACATTATATATTTATTATATATTTATCTACATTATATATTTATTATATATTTAAGTATTTACTTACTGTTTATAGATTCCGTCGTCGGATTATTTCTTCTACGTAATGTCAACTAGGTATACCGATTTTACAGGTTATAGATACAAATTTAAATTTTTTCGGTTAGCTGCCCTGCACTGCTTGCTCTACCTCCAGACCTAGGGCAGTCAGTTCACTGAACTCGCTGCACTAGTTCAGCCTGCACTGTTCGAAAGAACACATTTTCTTGCACTGTTCTGATCGAAAGAACGCATTAGTGCAAACTTCGTGAACTAGTGCAGCCAGTTCAGGTCGAAAGAACAAACCTAATTTCTCTCTCTCTATTTTCAGACTAATACAAGACATGAGATTCGATCAGAGAACTACAAAATTCGCAGAAGTAGTGAACTTCACAGTGGATATGTTTGAAAGTCAACACATGTCCAACAATGCTAAGCTGCTGATAATATTGTCGGACGGTATGGGAATATTCTCGATCGGAACGGAAAAAGTGACTCGTGCAGTGAGGAGAGCTAAATTAGCAAACATCTTCACAGTATTCATAATACTCGATAATCCAACTAACAAGGTAATTATTTTGTTGTATTCCAAAAATACAACGCGTTACTAATTATGTTATACAGTATTCTTAATTTAGTTTAATTATCACACAGCAGGAATTAATAAAATTAACTCGGTTTTTTATTCTTTTCAGCATTCTATATTAGACATCCGTGAACCCGTGTTCCAAGGAAGTAAACTACTAGAATTTCGGTCGTGTATGGATGATTTTCCATTTCCGTTCTATATGATTGTTAGAAACATAGACACTTTGCCGGCTGTCCTGAGTGACGCTTTACGGCAATGGTTTGAAGTTGTTGGAAAAATTGATACTTAACAAAAATAAAATTTAGGATGTATATGAAATAATATGTGTATATATATTATATATGTGATATTATATCGGCTAAAGAATGAAAGACAAGTGCTGTTTATCATAACTTGTTTAAAGTTATTAAAGATTACATTTTATCATTATTGATTGCTTTCCGAATATCTCGACTTTTCTCTTAATTATTAGAGTTTATGATAAAAAAGACAAATGTATTTTAGCAATTGGCAGCATTTAAACTACAACTCATGTTATTATGATATATTAGACTGAACTGTATCGCAATGAATTATTAAACTGTAGTTAAGCATTTTTGTCGTTCATTTTTATAACCAAAACTTGCTTTATTTACCTTAATGAATAACAGACTATATTTTTCCTCTCTTTCAATAATATTTATATTATATATATATTAAAATTTGTATATATAGAGCTTTTCATAGTATATATAATATTTCTATATATATATTTTTTATAATATATATAATATTATATATACTATAACAATGTATGTGTATATATATACTATATATCGTATATATAGAGCAGGACAGCATTCATTCTTTTAATCAATTTTTAGTTGATACAATATTTAAAAGAAAATCAGAATATTTATAAACGTTAAGTCGGAATCCAGCATAAAATTAGCAGACAACATAGTATCTTCTTAAGTTTATCCATCAAAACAGATTTCATGAAAACCAACTAACAGAATCTATAAATATAATTTTTTCCAATCTATTTTTGTGTTTATAAATGTTTTATAACTCGTTATAACTTGTAATATACTCGTTAATGAGTTATGATAAAAAAATATTTCTCTTTAATCTAATCCACAGACTTTCATAGGCATCACTGAATAAACTCCTTTAGAGCGTAAAAAAGAACTTTGCTCTCTCTACTCAAGAAATAATCGACAAGAAATAAAAATCTATCCACAGTTCGCAGGTAGAGTTATATTGGAATATATATGTTATAACAGAGAACTTTTATAAATAGAGTAAAATTTTTATTTTGCAAACTGCATACCACTGCAACTGCACATATGCTTTTCAAATCTTAATTTATATCAAAAGTAATAACTTATATTAGCTATGGTTTATTCAATGCAATGCATAAAGATGTGAATACGAAAGCTGTCCAACCCTGTACATATATATGCATCAATAAAAAGCAAAGAATCAGTATTTCAGATATGAAAATCTTTCCAGTGTGAATTGTCATATAATCTATAAATAGCGTTTCCTTGCTAATTCAAAACCCACAAAATTTATTGTAATAAGCTGCATTACGGATTTGTGCAAATCCGTCAATTAAACAATTCAAGTATTTTGTACTAAGCTCAGCCAACTTCTACCATCTCCGGACGAAGGAAATCTGATCTGCACCAAACGCACGTTCTTCTCATCAATCTCTTTGTACTCAGAAGTGGCAGGTACAACTATCGTCTCACCCTCCTCGGTCTCGTTATAATTGTACACTTCCTCGACATGCTCCACTGTTTCGGTATCGTTTTTACATTTAATATCCTCACTCTCCGTGAAATCCATCTACAAGATAATTAAGTTGCATACTTTTAGTATAATAAAAAGGTCCAGTGACCAAAAATAAATATTCGAATCCGAATTCTAAAACTTTCAAAATAATTTAATTTGAGGAAGTAATAGCCAAAACAAAACTTCTTGTAGATTCAAAATAATTCGAAATTACTAATCACATCGAATCAATTAAAAAGTTCACTATTCTTACCTGTGTCTCGACAACAAGATGATCCACTTCCGTATCTACGTTCTCTTCCGCGGGCATATTGAGTACATCTTCCTCTGTGTATATCTGGTCGTCCCCTTCTTGCTGTATGATTACGTGGTCCTTTAATTCGGTCACGTACAAGCTAGCTTCCAACTAAATAAACAATAAATATTGATAAAATAAAATCCACGTGAAATAAAAGTACGTGTAACACACGGCCTTGCGTATATTTCTCTGCATTGATACGTCGCCTATATCGTGTAAAACGCAGAAATCAATCTTACCTGTCCGTTGTCAGTTTCTTCCATCAACAGTTCATTAGCACCAGCAGGAAGTGTTATAACTTGATTCGCTATAAGTTCTTGATTTTCTTCCGTCGTCAGTCGCGGTTGATTCACAACTATTGTGTCATTTAAGTGATCCTGAATAATACACAATAAATCAGTGTTAAATCAGTAATAAATCTGTTTGAAAAATCTTTTGTGTATTACCTGAGCTTGCATATGTGCATATAGCAATGGTTTCCTCATGAAACCCATGCCACACACCAAACACTCGTACGGCTTTTTATCGCTGTGTATAAATCTATGTGCATTTCGGTTGTCCCTACTGTTAAACGCTTTACCACATACCTGAAAGAGCGTTTATTTGTAACGGATTTCGTAAAAGAATGTAAAAATGAAAGAAAAAGCGAATGTAAAAGATCAGCTACGTGGAAAAGGCAATCGCATTGAAATGCTTCTAGTTGTAACGATAACTCTAAAAGACACGCACTTCACAGAGATACGGTTTCTCTCCTGTATGTATACGCATATGCTTCTTGAAGTGTTCAGGATATACAAACATAGCTGAACACATTTCGCATTTAAACGGTCTTTCGCCAGTGTGCGCCGCTTTTATATGGTAATCCAACAATCTTCTTCTCTTGAAGCCTTTGCCACATTCATCGCACTTGTAACGTTTGTCATTGTAATGCGTCGCTCGTTTATGCGATTGGAGGTTTGATCTTTGGCTGAGAACAATAACAATGACAATTTTAATTATTAAATTGTTAAGTGATTAACGTCAAGACGCAGATAATCGCGAAGCTGTGAGCCTCTAATTACTGTGAAATATTCACCTGAACGTTGCTCCACAAAATTCGCATTGATAAGGTTTCTCACCCGTGTGAGTACGCTCATGATCGCGTATCTCTGCTTTGCGAGCGAACGCTTTACCACACGTCCTACATATGTAAGGTTTATATCCAGAATGCACTATGTTATGAACCTCCAAATTGTAAGGAGAACCAAAAGCCTTACCTTTAATTTCAATAGAAAGAAGATAATAATGAGCACATAACATGTCAAAAGGGAAATGAACTATCGAATATTTTCGAATATTTTTGAATAATATTTTTGAATATTTTTGTATTAAAGAAAACTTGAGGCCGCTCGAGCTTGTAAAATGCTCCGTAAACTATTTTTTTTTCCTATTGTATCTTCCTCTTTAAGTAACTTTTTTCATTATTTTATCACGTTAACTTTACGGCTATTTATTGACGTAAAATCTCAATGGAAAAAGATAACTTTCAGAATATTTTACAAGTATACTCAAGCGATTTAAAATATACATTCATTCAAATATTTTTTTTATATGGCAATTGTGTGCAAGATCGAGAATTATACGATTTTTAATCTAACACGCATACACATGAGATCAAAACTATTATGATTATAGAAGATTTGCTATAATAACTAGAATTATTAATGCGATTAAATCGTATAATTCTCGATCTAAGAAATTGTACAACATGTATAACGTTGACTGTACTCAGAAACTTTAAGCATGAAATGAATACGAATCTCACCACATTGATGACACACGTATCCTTTTATACCGTTATGCGTCTCTTCGTGTCGATTCAGATTTTGCTGACTCAAAAATGTTTTGTTGCATCGACTGCATTGGAACGGACGCGGTCGTACTTCGTGTGTTTTTATATGTGCTTTGTACGTATATTTGGAAGCAAAGTCTTTGCCGCAGGTTTCACAAACATACGGCCGAACACCCGTGTGTGTGTTAATGTGTTCATCGAGCAAGTTTTTCGAGCTGAGGCAAAAATAGTTCATCAGATACGTTTGCTCCGTTATAGCTTTATTTCGCGCCCTTACTTTCATTTATAACCTACCTGTATCTTTTTCCACATGCATCACAAGACCATGATTTCACTTGAGGATAATGTATTCTTTTATGAATCCGAAATAATCGTAGATTGTTGAATATCCGATTGCATACCTCGCACTGGAAGTCACCCTCCTCCTTTGCCACATGATCGTCAAGATGTGAAGACAGTTCATTTCTCTTTCTAAAATCTTGCCCACACACATCGCAAATATACAAACGAACCTCATGCTCGCTTTTTACATGTGCTATAACAGTCTTTGCATCTCCCATCACTTTGTTCTCTTCGTCCAAACATAATAAACAAGTGTACATCGAACCATCTCTAAGTACAATCTGAAAGAGAAGATATCCACATATTATTAAGACTCATCTGCAATATGTGTGATAAACTTGGTATATGTTGGAGTGAGAAATAAAAATCATTTATTTCGCTCCAGCTTACATCAAAAGCATTTCTTTTAAGGAGAAACACCACAGTGAGGGCAAAGGAAAAAAAAAAAGAGTAACTTTAGCAAAATTCTTTTTTGAATAACACACATTTTTCTTTAGTGGTTCTTAAATGGTTATTTTGCATGAATTTAATGCATGTTTTAAAAATAATTGTATCGTAGACAATCCTTTATAATTTTACTAGATTGTATAACTTGCTAATCAATACTGTACTTATTCTTTTGTACATACTTGTTCTGGAATAGATTCTAGTTTTATATTGACTTCTTTGCCTTTTTTCACTTTCTTTTTATTATCATCATCACCACCACCATCATCATCACCACCATCATCTCTTGTTTCGACTAGTTCTTCAGTATCAACTACAGTATCCTTAGTTTCAACAATGAATTCTTCTTCCTCTTGCTCATCTTCCTGTATTATGTATTCCTTATCGTTTTCAATTGTCTATAAATATTAATCATCATGCAGTTTACAAGTTACATATATATATATGTGAATTATTTGATTCTTATTAAACTTTACACAGCTCTATACCTCTACAACAGCACTTTGATTTTCAGCATTGTCTGCATAATCATGATCATTGTATTCTTCTTCATTTTGAAACATATCAGAAAGTTCCTTTACTGTCTTCTTGTAATTGTTAAACAAATCCAGCTTAATTTCTGCTATTCTATTTTGAAGTTCATCAAACTAAAATAGTGTTAACGTGTGATTAGATATTCTAATAGAAAAATTGTATCACAGGAGACTGTAATTTTTGCAATACTTCACCTCATTAAATAGTTTGTAACATTTTCTACAGATCACAAGGGAATGAACAGAGTCCTCACTGACATCAATCTCTAAAATAGCTGCTATAATTTCAAGCAGCCCTTTCCCAGATGCAGTAACAGAAGAAGTGCTGAAGATGCGTACGCTATTTCTAGCGGACACCCCAACTTTGCTGTTGCAGACCAAACAGTGGCTGCAATCTTTATCAGCATCAGCCGTCATTTTCTCTGCTATGAAAGAAAAATGTATCATTCGAAGAGAACATGGTGTAACAACGAATAGACATTTACAACGTCCGAATATATATATATATATATATATATATATATATATATATATATATATATATATATATATATATATGTGTGTGTATATGTATATGTATATATATATGTATATATATACTTTAATTTAATAATATGAAATGAGCTTATGAACTGTTTGTAAGTTCACAAACCCGCGATCTCTATTCTTTAAAAAAGCATAGATTGAAAAAAATATTTCTGCAATTGCAAGTTAACGACGCTGTTGCCAGCGCCGAGCGTCGCGACGCTCATTCTCGTTAACGCAATTCCATCGCGCGAGTTTAGCGCTAAATATGGCCGCACAGTTGCTGCGACTTCTCAGTTCTTTTTTGTTCGTTACATTTTCGCATGCGACGGATAAATCCCAGAACCGAGGGGCCGCACCTGGCGCTAGACGCGGCGTGGCGTTGGTACGCTCGTTTCCGCAGCGAGCGTTCGCGCTAAACGTTGATCGGCCGTTTCACGAGCCACATTTACGTCGAACAAGTGACCTTCACGAGCACCTCTGCGCGAAGAAAATTCAAGTCAGACGAGAGCTCGATCTCGGACAATGCATTCACATCGCCGAGCGTGAAGCGGCTGAGCATAAAGCCGCCCGATCACATTGACAAACGTCGCCGTGAACATGTGCTCATGCAGCGCCGTGTTCCTGACAAGAGAAACGCGACGGCACACGAGAGTGCGTACAAACAGTCGGATAACAATAACGAGACACGCAAAAAGTTGCCAGCACTGACTTGAAATTTTCGTTCCCCGATGTGGACAATTGGCAGCAATCCAGGAACAGCAATCGAACGGTTCTGACAGCGACGTTCACGTCCGCGTCACGATAGCTGGCCGACGCCGAGCGAAGACATGGAGCATCCCGAAAATGGCGACGTGTCGATCGTGCCTACACGTTGTTACACGTCCCGTACGTTTTCACATTCGAGTGTGATAGTGGGAACAGAGGGGATTCGCAACGGAATGTGCATTCGCGTGCAATGCGCCCTCTGTCGGAAATGCTGCGATTGAAAACACCGACGTTCTCCCGCGCGATGATATCGAAAGTCCTCTAATCGATCTTGCCGAAAGATAACGATATCTCCTTCCGCGGATCAAAAAGGTAGCATCCCTTTATCTTTCATTTACATAAACATGTCCTCTTTTTTTTTTATAAAGCACCTCGAACTCATGGCTGATTGCTATAATGTCATTTTGGCGACCTTGCGCGCCTGCGTCGGTTTTGTTAAGGTCTGATCTACAATAAATATCGTAAGCCGTAAGAATTGGCCAATCATAGTCGATTATTTTTGTAATAATAGACTGTGACTGACCAATATTTATTGTAGATTAGACCTTTTACAATAAACTTTAGTCATAAACCACAAATTGACAGCAAATTGACGAACCATAGTCGATTATTTTTGAAAATAGTCAACTATGATTGATCAATTTGCTTGCGGCTTATGACTAATGACTTATTAAAAAGTTCATTAGAGTTCAAGCGGGTTTTCATTGAGCCGGTTGAAGCGATTACAAGGACCAAAACTAATCTGTTCTTATCAGATCAAACTTAAAACATTCTATATGACATGTATATTTATATACATATTAATTATATATAACCTACAACGATAAGTTAGAGTAGTGTAACAATATGTACTTGTCTCACTCTAACTTATTGTCTTATTAGTATTATCTTAGGTCTATTCTTTTGCTCTGCACTGCTGTACTGGTGCAATAAGTTAGAGTGAGACAAATACATATTTGTCCTTGTAAAAGAGAACTCAGAATATAGGCCTTAATCTTTTCCTTGATACTCCTTTAAATACTTATTCTCTTTTAAAGCATTTAAAAATTCGAAGTTTTACATTTAAATTTTATCCTGTAAATAGTATTTTTAGAAATAATCGAGCAGAGGACTAACAGATAGGGCGAGTTTTTTAATTCATCGATGGATCCATCGCATGATGCGCAAATATAACGTTTTACTGTATCTGCGCATCATGCGATGGACCCATCGATGAATTAAAAAATTTGTCCATATTCTTAGGACCCTTGCAGAATGCCAGGCAACAGACAATAGAAACAGGCAATAGCCAATAGGAACAAGGAATAGAAATAATTGACCAATCAGAATTTCTATTCTCTGTTCCTATTGCCTGTTGCCTGGCATTCTTCAAGGGCCCTTACTCGATTTAGGTTGCTTTCGATGCGCATGCGTAAAATTGGATACAGCAAGACTCGTGTAGTTGCGTGCAGTCGCGTGATGATCGTAGTCGCGTGAAGGTGTTTACGATTGTTCAAATGAGTAAGAATGATTCGATGAGCAGATATGGGCCACTCGTTGGTGCAATCGACGAGGGCACGAACAGTGCTAGGTTTCTGGTATGATAAATATTTTTCTTTTGTAGTAGAATAATAACAACTATGTGCAATTCAGTGGTAGTAAGAAATTACAAACTACAATGCATAGATATATCAACACTGTTTGATCAATTTACCGTAAACTATATGTTAAAAATGGATTGCATATTTACTTTCATGTTTGGATTTTCATTGAAATAATGATAAAACATCGAGATAAATGAATAGTTGATTTCTTTAATTTGTGATATATAATTTGCAGAAAATACACTTATAATTTCTTCATTATTAATTCTGTTTATTATTATTATTTTTAATGTTACAACTATGGTTTGAAGTTTTAATGGATATATATGTATTTATATAATTTATATTGTACATATTTAATTTATATTGTACATATTTTTAACATATTTTGAATTACTTTCTCCTATTGTACTACAAATTGTCCTTTTATTGATTTTTACTTTGCTTCATTGTAATACAGGTTTTTGCAGCCAATACAGCAGAAGTCTTGACGTACCATCAGGTCCCAATATCTAAAATTTGTCCACAGGAAGGATGGGTGGAACAAGATCCTGTGGAGATATTAAGAGCAGTTAGAGAATGCCTTAATCAAACTATACATAACTTGAGGCAGTTGACAATAGATCCATCCGATATAGTTGCCATCGGTGTAACAAATCAAAGAGAAACTACAGTTGTATGGGATTCTGTCACAGGAGAACCACTTTATAATGCCATAGGTAAATATTATATTAAAGATTATATGTAAAGGATACATATTTTTTAAATCCATCTAAATAAAATTCTGTTCATATGACAATTTACTTAATTCATCAATTTTAACAATGTGTTGCAGTATGGATGGATATGAGAACCACTTCAATCGTGGATGATGTATTAAAGAATATACGTAATAAAAATAAAGATTATCTGAAGCCACTTTGTGGCTTGCCAATTAGTCCATATTTTAGTGCATTAAAGTTGAAATGGTTGTTAGAAAATGTGCCTCGTGTTCAAGAAGCACTGGCAAAGGATCGTCTCATGTTTGGCACCATTGATTCCTGGCTAATTTGGGTTTGTTCATAAAAAAACTAACAGATTCAGAAAAAAAATATATTCTATAATTAGATTATGTTTAAATTTAATGTATCAATTTTATAACTAGAATTTGACCGGTGGTGCCAAAGGAGGTGTTCACAGCACAGATGTCACAAATGCTTCAAGAACAATGCTCATGAATATTGTAACTCTCAAGTGGGATCCTACTTTATTGTCGTTTTTTAAAATACCTGCTAAGATTTTACCACAAATACGAAGCTCATCTGAAATTTATGGTTACATACAAGATGAACTCCTACAAGGTGTTCCTATATCAGGGGTAAGTGATTCTCTTATGTTATCTATCAATTCAATCAAAATATTTTACATATATAAATTATTTATAACAGACAAATTATTTTTGTTGCAGTGCTTAGGCGATCAACAATCAGCTTTAGTGGGTCAAATGTGTCTACAGCAAGGGCTAGCAAAAAGTACTTATGGCACTGGTTGTTTTCTTCTTTATAACACCGGCACAGCTGTAAGAGAAATCTCATTTTTGCAATATTGTACACATCGTGACAAGCTCATAATTTAGACTAATACAATTTCATTATTACAGATTGTGGATTCGGCGCATGGTTTGTTAACGACGGTCGCTTATCAGTTAGGAGAGAACGCTTCTCCAGTGTATGCTCTTGAGGGCTCTATAGCAATTGCCGGTGCCCTTATACATTGGTTGAAGGATAATTTAGAGTTAATGGACAATATAAAAGATTGCGAAAACATCGTCGAACAAATATCCGCGGACAACCGTATTGTTTTCGTGCCAGCATTCGCTGGGCTCTACGCTCCTTATTGGAGGAAAGATGCACGCAGGTAACATATTTTCTAAATACAACAGGAACATCTCGTCGTTCTGCGATAATATTCAAATTTATATGAATTATAATTATTTCAGTGTCATATGTGGACTTAGCGAAGACACAAATAGCTCGCATATTATAAAGGCAGCCCTGCAGTCGATATGTTTCCAGATTAGAGATATCTTGGAAGCTATGAAGAAGGACACTGGCTTAGTGCTTTCGAAATTGTTGGTCGATGGAGCAATGACGAACAACGACTTGTTGATGCAGATGCAAGCCGATATCTGTGGAATTCCAGTAGGTATGTAGAACATTCTATGTTAAATGATTATATACGCATATTCTTAATGAGCTAAGAGCTAATAGTATAAGCATACGTGATTTTATAAGAAAGTTAGGCCACTAATGTGCGAAACTACTGCGCTCGGAGTTGCGATTGCCGCGGGTAGCGCAGAAGGAATACGCAAATGGGACATGAAAATCGATGCTACAGTTCCTAGCGACATTTTTTTGCCGTCGATTACTGAGAACGGTAATTACGAAATTTTCCAAATTCATCACAAATATTGAAGTTTCATAGCATTACGTATGAAAATTAAATATTAATTAAATACTTTCTTTAGAGCGTGATATGTTATATTCGCGGTGGAAAGTTGGTATTGAGAGAAGTTTAGGATGGGAAACGACTCCAGAAACCGATGGTAACTATCGTCGTATCAAATCCTCCCTATAAACGATCCATAATTCGCGACAGAATTCCAAACAGTATTTTATTTGCAAGTTTACATATTATGTAATACAGAAAACATTTAAAGAATCAGTGTATTATATCTACAAAACGTGCATAAGTAAATAAACATATATAAGTCTGCACGTAGAATTATGTCGCAAACTATAAATCGTTTAAAGTAAACTTTCAGCAATTATATTATTAGTTTAATGGGTTTCAATTACAGGTACTTCTGTTATAAATGATACAAATAATATACATAGAGTGACTGCTCCTGGTGTATTTGTAATAGGCACTATAATATTACTTATAGTTGCTAAATTTAGATCTACTTTGTAATAAATTTATATGTGTAGTATTAAGTACTGTACACATTGCATTTAGAATTGACCAATGCAATTGAGAATTGCTTACCATAGATATGATATGATGTTGGAATCTTGTGTCTCGTCGCGTTCTGCTATGTTTGTGTAAGAATGAGTATTATTTATGAACCAAAAAAAAAGAAGTGTCAGGAATAAGTGCCATAATATAATACCGTAATGACAAAACCATTTAAATAAAAAATGTTAATAAACTGTTAAGTTACAGCTTTGTTTAATGATCTTGTTTTAATAATTTTACAGAATTTGTTTACATTATGTTTGAGTTTCATAGCTTTGCGTTTAAATCGATTTTCGTAGTCTCTGTTTTATCATCGACGGTAGCCTTAGGTCTTTCATTTAATATTCTTTGAAGGATTGCAGGAGTAATCGATACCACACCTTCATCGGACGCTTCACGTTCCTTACACGTTGGATGTACAGTCGCTGTTTTCTACGATTACGTAAGAAACATAATCGAACACGAAAGCAATTCGCGAGACGCATATAAATGATCTCACTCGTATATAATTAACACTTACGGCGAATCCGTCATTAATAGATGTTTGAGCGACGACGGACATCTCAAGCCAGGCATCGGTTCTTATGACGCAGATGCGCATTCGTGCCGTTTGTGGTACCAATATACGGGCGATCAAAGAACGACATGGCTGAGATACTTTAGGATGTTTAGGAAACACCACTCTGCTTTGCACTTGCTGAGTGAGGAAAAACAGAACGGGACTGGTTATATAAGAAGACGATATAACGCGTGAATTCACACAATTTACAAGGAATATATATAAATCGGTAACATACAAGCTTCAGTTTTTATATTTATTATCCCTTTTTTTACTACATGCCAAGTGTTGAATTTCATTTAATAAATATATTTACTTTTTATTAGTCTAAAGTATTTCCGTATTAATTACGTTTTCTTTCCGGCAAAATAAGTAATAATTTTTATATTATCAAATCACTTCTTTCATATACTGAAAAGATTCTTTTTGTATGAAGACGTATTTTTCCGTACATGTGCTATCACTATACAGATAATATGCCGAAATATGTTTATGTAGACAATTATATCTCGAGTATAACGATTTTGGCTTATACCTGGGTACCTTTAATAGTATCGCGTGGCTCGTTTCGTCAAACGGCAGTCGACCGTAAACCATAGCGTAGAGTACCACACCCATGGACCATATGTCGGAGAGCTGAGCCTGATACGGGATACCTCGCAGGATCTCAGGTGCTGCGTAAGCATAACTACCACAGTAGGTCATGCTGAGCGGCCATTCGCCATCCTTCGGCTTCATCTGTCCTCGCGCGAAGCCGAAATCCGACAGTTTGACATTGAACTGTTGATCCATGAGAAGATTCTCGCATTTTATGTCCCTGCAAATGATTCCAGAAAGGTATGATCGCGAGACGCTACCAGAAGTTCCCGGGAATTTTAATTGAAATGTTTAAATGTTGATGTTAAACATTGATCTTCCTTCTTCTGTTCTTACCTGTGCACCACTCCACGCTCATGGCAATAATCAATGGCTTCTAAAAGTTGGCGAAACCATCTGCGGCTACGCAGCTCGTCGATATAAGTGTCGTGACGTATAACATCGAACAAACTACCGTTTTGCGCGTATTCCATGACGATGTATACTCTACGAAAAACCAGATTTGCAATTTGAAAAAAGAGAAAGGAAATCTGTAGATGCGATTTCGTTCTCGGGGAAACTGTAGGATTTCATTTCGCAGGAATGAATTCCCACCGATCTCTCATTGATCTGTTTCCACACAGAGACTCGTTCTACACTACGATCCGCGATGCTGCCGGGAATCAGTCAAACCAACCGATGAGTGGTTTCTATGGCTTGTAGAAAACGAATTAGATTCGGATGCTTCAAGCCTTTGACCACCTCGATCTCACGGGGTAGGAACTTTGTGAGGTGCTCGCCGGGTGCTTGAAATTTCGAAACGATCTTCACCGCCACTTGACAATTGTGCCGATCGGATTTCGCGATCTAAGTGTGACGAGCATTTGCGGTTAATGAAAAAGGATTTGGTGTTATAAACCATGTAGCAAAATAGTCAAAAGAAATCTAAAATCCGTATCAACAGTCGTTACTTGAAACTTACCTCAGATGAGATACTCAGATTTGAATTTCAAATTAGATGTGAATCTTTTAGCTAAATCGCGATTACAAATGTAATGTCACATGTATGATTTCATTAAAGAACTAACTCAAATTTATATCTCTCATGTATCAAACAACTTTCAAGTAATGACTATTAATATGGGCCTTAAAGACGCCTAAAGGATATTCTATGTTTGTTAAAGGTATATATCCTACGTATGTATCCTTTGTTTTTAAAATGTCTCTACTTACATACTTTTTAGGCATTTTTGAAGAAAGGAGAATGACAATTACTTTGACTGTGGCGTATGATCCAGCTCCTATAGTCTTTCCAAGAACATAACCGTGCGACTCGAGCACCGTTAATTTCTTATCCGATCTCTCGCCATTCTTCTCATCCGTCGATTTCATGTCGGCCGGTCGCTCGTTCGAAGTACACTTTATTATTGGTACTGTCGCCATTTCCGGCGTAGATAAGGCTTTCGACTGAAATGAGAGACGTAAATTAATTCTGGATTTGAAAATAAATTTAAGAATTTCACGAAAAATATTTGAAGCGATTTCATCGCGATTTACTCAAATTTATTAAAATTATTCCTCACACAGCACGCATAATATTAGCAGAATTTTGTGCAACAAGGATTACCTTGACAATTTCTTCATATTATTTCTCAAATAAATCTCTAGCCAACGGAGAATTCATTTTACTTGTCGCGTTGATCACATGTCTTCGTTCGTTGAACGTGAGATTTTAATTTAATTTCGGCATCTGTGGAAGAGGTTTTGAATTGCGTGATAACTAAAGTGTGACAAATATTGACGATAGAATCGATAACAAGATCGATATGCAAATGCGATTAATCAATAATCGATCGATGCATCGTATTATTCCCTTTAAAGGTTATGTAAATATCGTAGGTACATTACAAACAATCGGTAAGATCAAGTCCTCCGGTTATCTGTAGACTCGCTTGATAAACGAAAATTATTCATAGCAGCAAATCTCCGACAGCCCATCGTCCACGAGTGAACTCGCGCAACAGTCACCTACTGAACCCGTTAATTATTAATCATTTCAGGTACGTCTCCGTCTGTCGTAAAATATTATCTGCGTCATCTCCAGATGTTTGTCGATCATATTTTAGCGAGCGTTGCGCCATTAACAGTCCTTATTATTGCATCCCATACGAGCGCGGTATATACACTTCGACGAAGGTAAGAGGTAACGCGGAAGGACGTTACGTCGCCGATAAAAACAATTCGAACAGATTCGGTGAAAACAAACGGTGACCAGATTTAACGAACGTGACGTTTGTCTTGACGCGCTCGACAGTCCCCGAGGCCGTCGAACAGTGAACGGTATGAAACGTCACCCAGTCCCGGAGAAAAAAACAACGTTCCTCTGAAAGAACCCTGGTCGAGTGTTTTGACGAGCCGTACTACTCAGCGAGTAACCTTCCTACGCAACAAAACGTGCCGTTGCGACTTGTTTGTAATTGTTCTCAGCTGTCTTTATTTGCTGACTGTCCCAGCTGCTGCTGCTAAATAATTTTGTTTTTCCTGTCTGTGTTGACAGATCTGAGTAAGATGTCGTTGATCGAGGGTATAGGTGATGAAGTCACGGACTTCTTCATCGTCATGAGCGTGCTGCTGGTGGGTTGGCTTGCTTGGTGTTCAACAAGTATAGCAGATCAACCATTGATACGTACAGTACTTATATTACGTGATCGGACCCCAGCACGTATTGCCACGCTGAGAGCCAACCACCAAAGCACAAGCACTGCTGATCGACCCCCCAGTTTGGAAAGAACAGAAGAGGAGACAACAGTCTCTACTAACACAGCAATAGGAACCACTATCTCTGCTAACAATGATGATGCACAATCGAACTGTCCAGATGAGTCCAACATAGGTACATGTACTTTGCATACATATTATGTGATCAAACATAGCACGTATATTTCATCTTGTGTGATAATATTACAGTTGTTATATATTACATATAAATAGATGGTTGAAAGTTTTCTTTTTATAAAGGATATTATAAAAATTTCTGTCTTCTTACTATGTATCTAATAGGTACAGAGACAGCCTCTCAAGAAGTCAATGCTTTAGAACTACCTCCAACAACACAGGAAGTACTTCTTGAGGCCATGGACTCTTATAGCAGTGATGGACCATCACTGTTGCGAAGATCTGTTAAAACAAATAATACTGAGAATGCAAATGTGAAGGAGCAAGCCACTTCAGCAGATGCAGAGGAACAGACAGCTTCAGCAGATATAAAGGAGCAAACCACCTCAACAGAATGTACTACAGAAAATGCATCTGCAAGTGACAACAATGATATCACCATAAAACTAAAGTTCATAAACGATGACCAGAAACTAGTCACTGGCAGTCTCAAAGAAATGCTAGGCGAATTTAAGAGGTAACTGCGAATTGATTAATAATTATTAATTGTTACTTATATGTTATACTTAGGACTATTATAATTATAAATTTCATATTTTTTCTTGTATTTTTCTCTTTTTCTATATGTACATGTATTTCTTTCTATATTATATTTTTTATATTTTATATTTTATACGCAACAGATTATTCGCATTAAATTGTTTATATCATATATTTGTATATTTTATTATGCCTACTATACATAAAACTTTGTAGGAGACATTTTCAAATGGAGTTGGAGGCGCAAAAGTCGGTGCGGTTAGTGTTCAATGGCCGTGTGTTGCAGCCTGACACTCTGACTCTTGAACAATGCGGATTGTTCAACGAGTGCGTAGTTCACTGTTGGGTGCATCAAGCACGACCGACCAACGCGCCATCGTCTCAAGCAGATAACTCCTCACCCATTTATTTCAATTCGCAGTCATTCTCGGATCTGCCTGCCGGCGCGAGTATCAGCTCGGTACGCAACGAATGGGATCTGAGTCGGCTTTTAGTGAGCATCCTGACGATCATTTTAGGTCTCGCGTGGTATTCGCGGTATCATTACGCTCAGCTTTTCACTGCTACCACAACACTCGCACTTTATGCACTAACAGTGATCTTCACTGTCTCTCTGGTCAGCAATTTCTTTCCCGACCAGGATAACATCCGGAACGTCGAATAAAACGACACAGTGCTGTGTATATGTGTGTGTGTATGTGTGTGTGTTTAATGCGAGAGCACATCTCGAGTAAAACTTTCCGAGTCTAAAATACGAGCTAAATATCGATTATACGTACACGCTGGTTAAAACGAAGAATAACGGTGATAAATCAAATAGCGAGCCAAGTATTTACGTTTAGTGTAATACTATCGAGAACAGATTTGTCATTTACTACTTGTGATTACCACCATTCTGGCGGACGTTATTAGTCTTGAGTCGTATTTCCACTGGTATGTAGGTGCGGTGTTTAAAGAGATCGTGAAACATATAACGCAACACGCGATGTCCTTTTCTCCGTTGACTAATACATTTTTTCTCAAATCGTAATCAATCATTATAAAGTCTATTCAGGCAAACTTGTATTATCACATAATGTATGTTCTGAAGAAAATCAAGCAATTGTGATCCATGCAGTAAAAGGTCCTTTATAATATCTATATAATTGTATATATCTATATACAATTGATCAATTTCTTATATCCATATGCACTATACCACTATACAAGTGTGCCTGCATCGACCTTTACTCGTACACATAAAACGTCAAATTGTCACATAATGCGACGTTCCTTCGCGAAAAATCTTTTATAAATTATCTCTCTCACTCTTTTTCCCGAAAGAACTTTTCGTATATATGACGTCAATATTTCTCACAAAGAAATATTGCGTGGTGTTTTTATTACGTGTTAATTTACAGTGATAAGCAAGAAATATTCTTTGTGAATATATATTTCTTCCTTGTAAATTATTATCTTACAAGGATAACTCTCATCAATCTATTTATTATCTTAATTTTAGTACTTTAATTATAAAAATTAAGTTGCGAGAATCGTAAGAAATTCTCTTCTGGGTAATTTTATTTATTATTAATTAATATATTTTTTCTTTATAAATTTTGTATAGTATATTGTTTAACATTCGGTGAAATGTTATCAAATAACTCGTATCAAATGCATAACTACGATTATTTGATTCACTGAGTTTATAATCGAATTATTTTACAAATATAATATATTTAAACATTGCAGAGAATCAGTTTTATTTAATGAATCGAGACAAATTGCAATTGCCAATAATATGGAGAAGAAAATGCATTTAAATAAAACAAAAAAAGAGAAAAAGTCAAATTATCCGCGACCTATTTGATGCAAACTAGAGGTACTATTTACTTACGTTGTACAATTTGTATGTAACAAGAATAGAAAATAATTATATACGTAATGTGTCATTTGAATACGCGTCTATGACGATTTCGGGATGAGTATAAAAGAAAAAAGGACACGAATTTTTTTCATAGATGTTTATGGTATAGCAAAAAGACGGGCGAAGTGGCGGTACATAATATTGTCTCTCTGTCACTTACTGTACTATATAATTTCTATTAAAGTCGGGTCAATAATATGTCAATTGCTTTATCCAATACCAATAAACATTTAATTTATTTGTTACTTTTATCACATGCTCTCCCTATTTCCTAAAAATAAGTAAGATTGTATTATAAGTACATCGCATAAGTACGTGTGTGCATCAAAGTTCTGTAAATATTAAAAAGGGGAAACAAGGAGTAACTGATTTTCATTCAGTTTTGACGGGATATCAAGAAAATACAAATCACTCTGACGATAGTCGACTTGGGAGATATAAAAAGTCCATGGAAAATAAATATGGTAACAGAATCGCAAAAATAACATTAAATATACGATTAATCTTTTTTTATTTCTCAATCTGCTGTCAAGTCTTCTCAATCTTCTGACAGAATTTCCAACAATAAAATTAATCTTAATATAAGTAGCATACTTTCAATTGCGTATGCTATGATGCATTATCTTGTATTAAATAAATGCGGTAACTTTGTGATTGATTATAATATTCAAATAATAACCGTTATTTTTTCCTCGCAGCAAAATATTTTGTGCTTCTTGAGAAGTAATATGAAACTAAACTTAATTGATAGATTAAAGTCATTTTCTTTCATTTCGATTTCTCGAGTCGACTGTAAAAATACGATTCTCTCTTAGAAACTTAAAATGCATATTGCAAAATATGATAATAACAACTATTTGTTTATAAGATATTCGCGTACTCTATCATGTCTTTATCATCGCGATAATGTCCGAAAAAACCGATGAAAATGTAACTTTCAGCGCGAGTCGCTAAACCTCCAACGTTTGTCCACACAGTCGATTCGTCGGTGTCGTGCTATTGCTAGACAGAGCGATGTTCGATTTCTCGAACAACGAACCCAATTGTTGTTTTAGTCTCGTGTCGTTTATGATAAAATCGCCTTTGGGATTCTCCAAGAGCACACTTCCCGTCATCGCCTCGCTCTTCACGTTGACAAAATCGCAAACAGGCGATCCGCAGTGCGTCCGCGCGTCTTCGTCGGCTGACAACAACGAAGTAGTACCTGACTTCACTACTTTCAGCGTTTGCCCGTCGAACGCTTGAACTGGCACCAACGCGTCGTCGAACCTGGTGATCATGTCGTCGTTGAGGTATAAATCGTAGGAAATACCGTAGATACCGAATATCAGTTCGATTTCTTGTCTCAGACGCTTGTATGTGATGGTTCCGGAAGACTTCGGGGTATTCAACAGGATCGTGGCGCGGTAAGCCTTCGCGCCGTATCTCGGCTGTATATTCACTAGCAGCACGTTAACGTACCTGACGAAGGGTCGCGACTGTGCCGTCGCGACTAAGTCATTTGGAGACGTGCGATCCGCTCCACCTCTCACCAGCACAAGCTTCATATCCATACCTTTGATCTTCTGCATCTCCTCGAGGATCACAGAGGCATCGGACGGAAATTCTGCAACATTTCTCTGAGGGGTCTTCGTCACATTCTCAATGAACTCTTGATAGTTGATCACCACCTTCGCTAAATTGCTGCTGGCGTCCTTGATCTCATAGTACACGACAGCATCGTCCGAGGGTATCAGCTGCGCCTTCTTCCGCAGCTTCTGCACACGATTGATCACCTCTCGCGCTATACCCTCGTTGTGCATTTCCTTATCGGGGGTGACATCCAGGAGGATCAATATGTTCCCCTCGCTGTGCGCCTCGTAACGCTTCGACAGTTCCTCAGCGGCCGGGCCGGTGAAGCTGAACATAAGCCGCAGGTCTTGCGGCTCCAGCGTGTGGCCGCAGACGACGATCTCCTTCGTGTCGACGAAGCTTCGCAACTGCTCGTCCGTCAGTTCCTTGATAGCTTGCGTAACTCGTTTGAATTCTCCCTTTAAGCGTGCGCCGAGGGTCTTGTGATCCGGTTCGGCTCTCAACATCACTCCGTACTTCTCCTTGTCCGCGGTGACCGTCAATCTCTTCACGTTCAGCTCGCCGAGTATGTACGTGTCCAACGACACGATATCACGCAGCACCTCAGAATCCTGATGAATCACCACAACCTCTGGCAAGGGATATTTGGTGGGTATGGTTTTCCTGTCCCGCACCACGCGTCCCAGCTCAATTATGGTCTGCATGTACGACACGGATCTCTCGATCTTCACGTCGATGAGGTGCGTACGCGGGTCGGGTATCAGTTGGTAGTGCACGCTGTCCATGTTCTCCTCAGACGGTGGTAACTTCTTCGACAGACGCTGGAACATAAATTCCGTGAGGAACGGCGTGAACGGCGCGTTCGTTCGCACCATCGTGTAGAGTACCAGGAACAAGGTATTCAACGCGTTCCGGCAGTCGGCGTTACCGCCGCCGCTTTCGCCCTTGATACGCTTCCTGTTCATCCGCACGTACCAGTTGGTAAGGTTATCAATGTACTTGATTAAGTGAGGTATCACAGTATAGAGTCTGTAAGCCTGCATTTCCTGCTTCAGAAAGCCCAGCAGCGTCTGCGTGAAAGACACGATCCATTTGTCCATTATATTATCGGAATGTAGCTCGGCGACGTCGTCGAACACGAAGGACACGTGCTCTTCTTTCTCGAAGCGCTCGACATTCTGCATGAGGAAGCGGAAGGCGTTGTACCACGGCAAGAATACGTCCTTGATGACGTCTCGCACTCCTTCCTCCTTGAACCTGAGATTCTCGGCGCGAACGACCGGTGAATTGATAAGGTAGAGACGCAGCGCGTCCGCGCCATACTTGTTGACTATCTCAATGGGATTCGGGTAGTTCTTCTTGCGCTTCGACATCTTCTGGCCATCGGACGCGAGCACCAGGCCGTTCGCTATGAGATTTTTGAAGGGTGCTTTGCCGAACAGCGCGGTGGATATAACGAGGAGCGTGTAAAACCAGCCGCGAGTCTGATCAATTCCCTCGCCGATAAAATCCGCCGGGAAGCTCTCGTGGAAGTCCTCCTCACGCTCGAACGGATAATGTATCTGTGCGTATGGCATCGATCCGGACTCGAACCAGCAGTCGAACACTTCGGGTATTCGACGCAACGGCGGCTGACCCGGCCGTTTCGATGGTATAGTCAGCTGGTCTATGTTCTCCCGGTGAATGTCCGTTACCTTCGTGTTCGTCAACCGCTCCAACTCGTCAATGCTGCCCACGCACACGATTTCTTGCTTATCCTCGGAGATCCACAGCGGTATGGGATTGCCCCAGTAGCGATTTCTGCTGATGGCCCAGTCGCGAGCGTCGCGCAGCCAGTTACCGAATCGCTTATCCTTCACGTAATCCGGCACCCAGTAAGTCGCGCTGTTAGCCTCCAGCAGCTTGTCCCTCATCTGCTCCACCCTGATGAACCAGGAGGGCACAGCTTTGTAGATCAATGGCGTGTCGGATCGCCAGCAGAACGGATAGCTGTGCTTGCTGGTGCCGCTGACCAGCAGTCTCTTCTTAGCCTGGAGATATTTGATGATCTCCTTGTCCGCGTCCTTCACATACTTGCCGAGGAAGTCGCGTACTGGCTCAACGAAGCGGCCGCAGCTGTCGACCGGACACACAATCTCCTGGTCCTTTGTGATGACGCCAGCCTGCAAGCAGCAACGGTAGTCGTCCTCGCCGAAGTACGGCGCTTGGTGAACGATACCAGTTCCAGTCTCTGCTGTGACATACGTGTCGTTCAATACTCTGAAAGCACCCTTCTTCCTGTGATCTATAAAATAAGGGAACAGCGGCTCATAAGCTTTTCCTTTCAAGTCCGTGCCCTTTCTTTTACCTATCACTGTGTAGAGTTGTTGGGACTTGAAGACAAGTTCCAATTGAGCTTCTAAGATAATGTAAATGTTACCAGACTCATTATCTTTTACCTCTACATACTCAAAAGTAGGATTGGCGCACAATGCCAAGTTACTAGGTAACGTCCACGGGGTCGTAGTCCATGCCAGGATGGACACATTTGGCTCATCGAGCAAGGGGAAAGTCACAATTACTGATGGATCGACAACATCTTTGTAATTCTGGCCAGCTTCAAAGTTCGATAACGGTGTATTGCAAGCAGTCGAGTAGGGCATCACTTTGATACCCTGATAGACTAATCCCTTGTTGTACAGCTCCTTGAACACCCACCAGATTGACTCCATGTACCAAGGGTACATGGTCTTATAGTCATTCTTGAAGTCTATCCACCGACCTACTCTGTAGACAATCTCTTGCCACTCCTTGGCATACCTCATGACAATGCTACGACATTTATCGTTATAAGCTGCAATTCCCATCTTTTCGACATCGTCAGGACCGTTGAGACCGAGTGTCTTGTCGATCTCGTACTCCACGGGTAATCCATGAGTGTCCCAGCCGAATCGGCGCTCCACATGAAAGCCGCGCTGATACGCGTATCTGGTTATGATGTCCTTTATAGTGCCAGCGAGGATGTGACCATAATGCGGTAAGCCGGTGGCAAACGGCGGTCCGTCATAGAACGAGTATTTAGGCCGGTTTTTCGACAAGCGAAGACTGTTTTGAAATACGTCCAGCTTCTTCCATAATTCCAGTATCGCCTCCTCCTCTTTCGGGAAATCAATGGTCTCCGGCAACTTCTCACACATGTTTCTCAGACTTCGGGATCTCTCTCGACGTACCTCTTACCAGATGGAACCTGCAACTGATGCAACGTACCGTACTAATTTGATATAACCTGAACAATCTGACGTAACCTCATACAGTTTTGCATGGAAAGAGTCAAAGCAAGTCTAAACTCGTTTATTTTAGTTGCAGTTTCTACTAGATAATTAGTTGTTATTAATAATTAGTCATTATTAACAATATTTAATTATATTTATAAATCTGTTATTGAGAAAAGTAGCAGAAGGAAGTATTAAGGAGAATTCATACCTTGGCAGAAAGGGAAAAACCAATTAGAACTCACGTTGATGGTCAGATGATAGACGACAGTTTCTACTCTTCTACCAGCGCAAGTTCTGGGCCCTTATTCTTGAAATTTTGCGTATACGTAATTTTCATTTCAGTTATTTTATGGTATGATTAAACCTGCGCAGTAAAACTTACGTATACGCAACTATTTCAAGAATAAGGGCCCTGCCGTCGAGTCGTACTATTTTCAAGTGATACGACTCAATGGCGGCTCAGACAGCCTTTTATAAGCAAATTTCAACGACACGCATCGAAAAATTTTATTTTCGAATAATATAACTCAACGAGACAGATCATCACCGATGAACTTTTTATTTTTCAATAACACGAGACCAAACAGCTTACTAAGTACATAGTAAGTTTTATCTGATACATAGTAAGAACTTATATTATTCAATACACATATACACGACATAAAAGTAAAAAAAAAAACTTTTATTTTCTATACATACGCGCGTACATATACATTTACAACTTCTCAAATTAAATATAATGAGTGGCAATATTCAACATGAACATCTCTCTCACTTGTAAAATACAGTAATTTTATACTGTTTCAATATTGTATAATTTTATACTGTAATTATACTTTATCAAATATACTTTTAAGTGTTACAATTTTTACACAATCTTGTTATATATTACAGCTTGTAACAGTTTCTATGACACCCTGTGTAACACAATGACTAGATGGCTGAAATATACAAAGCAATACGAATGATCTAGTTTCATAATTCACGATTGATGCATCATGTGTTGTACTCTGGGTCGTTGACCGCCGACATAAATCACTTGTCTGTGCTCGTCCGGATGGATCAGTTCGTCCGTGTGCTTCCAACGCCATTTCTTCTCGCTTTCCTTGACACGTCTATGATCAATATAACTGATCACACAACTCGCTGGGATCCAAATAATAGCAGTGATGATTATTACGGCTCCTACTATGTTATCTTTGAGAAAACGCATAACTTTGTTGATGTTTATGTCCTCAATGATGTCCCAAAATCGTTCCACTACATCTTGAATCGTTTTCTCACAAACACCCTGGAAGAATGCATATGCATGAAATTAAATGGTAGGCCATCTAAGGTTTCCCGTGAAGAAAGGAATTAACTTCAATGTGGTTTTACTTTGTTGCAGAAACCTTGGATGCACGGTGTCCCATCCGGTAAAATATCTTGTGGATCTATCGGGAAACACGTTTCGTTCAAGCTCATCCTACAGCATCGTTTGCACGCATCGCCAACTGTTAAAAAAATCCGACGTAACAATGTAAGCATAATGATAACAATACAAATCTTTTGTAACACAATTGAATCTAATTACGCAATATATAACTAACTCTGAAATATTTCTTCTATTTATCAGATCGAAAGATACATTGGCTATTTGTATTTCCAGATATATCTGAAACTTAGAACACAAGATATACATACTCGTGTCGCACATACAGCTTTGCAAGCTTTGAGTCTCGCAGTACGGCACGCATTTACCCATGCGGCATTGCCCACGTTCGAGACAACCAGTGCCATCCATCATAGCCGGTGATTTTGGACATTCACTGGACACTCCGGTGCAACGCGACTCTTGTTCGCAGGTCGCATATTGCGCGTCGCGACACTTTGTACCCGTAGGCATATACGCGCAATTCTGACAGCAAGGAGAGTTCTTATCGCTGTTGAAAAAAGGCACGATCAACGTTACGTGCTGATTCATTAATATATCATTTTTGGATTCACCGTAGGAAGTTAGAAATATAAACATCCTAGATATCACGTGATACAAATACGGAGTCTCTATGTTACCTGCAGACTGCACTCTGCATCCTTCGAAGTTTGCAGTTTTTATCGCAACACGCGTCATTGTCCTCCGTTCCCAAGAGACCCGCGTCGCATTCCTCATCTCCTTCGACTCTTAAATTCCCACAGAACGATTCCTCCGGTTCTGAGAAACAGCGTCCAGATTTCGCTTGCAAAACTTTTCTGATAGATCGCAAGCTGCACGGCGAAAATCTCTATGTGAGAGAAAGATAATGTAATATCTCTACAAATCTGTAGATTTACATATAAATCTATATTGTATAAAGCAATTAAGCAGTATCGATGTCTTACACAAGAAACAGGAACTTTTAACAGAAATCGGAATGTGAATAAAAGAAGAGGAACTTTACCTTGTTATTTACATCATAGCCACTAACACTGTAAGTATACATCAAATAAGAGCCACCTTGACTTGCACTTGGGCTGCATTCCTACATTAATAAGATTAGAACATTTAATCTCAGCTGCAAAAAGGATGAAAATGGCCTTTTAAATTATAACTCACTGTAATATCCGGATCATGTTCGGAACCCCAATTATGGCCAAATTCATGTGCCGTCACCAAATCAGCTTCTCTCGTAATTACTCTTTGTCCATAATGATTCCTGCTGGAACTTAGTCCTGAGTTTAGATATAATGTATATCCATTTTTAAAGTATTCTGTAATATGAGATATCTTCATTAATAGAAACAGGTAACTGTACATATAATATGTTGAGCTACCTTAAACTTTTTGAATTGTAGAAACTTTCTTTATGTTATGTGTACTCTAAAAACTCCTGTTAGAAGTATTACATATAACATTCAATACAATGACCATATATTGAACAGTCTTTTATCACAAGGAAAAATTATATAAATTATTTTAAATCGTAACGTTAAATAGTCTACTTTATAATTTAGAATATGGACATATAACGTCTCTTCCGATATACCTGGTGTGCAGATGCCACCTACTGAATTTCTACGAGGAGATCCAACGTAGGCTAACCCAAGGATACCACCTTCAAACTTGAGATCAGTGAATAGATGAGCTAAACAAAAATCCTTATGACTGTATTCTCGACTGAAAACCTACACGATAATGTTGAATTATTAAACCTAATTTCGCGAATTTAGATGAAGAAATATATTTTAATCAAATTATATAGCAACCTCGAGCAGTGTACGGACGTCCCATTTCTCGCGAACCATATTGTAATGCGTTTCACCACCTCTCACTCGCGTAGGTTCACTGTGAACGACAATCTTCTTTATGACAAAACCCATTCCTTTGAAACCATCCTGTTCCTGCCGTTCTTGCCACATAGTGTCATTATAAATCTTGTGTACTCTGTCAATTAAGCTTATCTGTAAAAAAAATTAATACAGTTATAATCATGAATCAACGTTTGAACTAAATAATTATATATGTTCTATATATGTACCAGATAATTAATTGTAGTCTTTGTACTGCTAGCTCCCATCTCCTGGTAAAATCGATAATCGGCGACCAACAACAATGGGCATCTTGTTTTCGTCGGTGTGTATTCATAATTTTCTGTATGTCTTTTCACCCTATGGCTATCTATTTCCATATGATCCTCTTCAAAATCATTTTCCTCATCTAACAAAAATATGTGGCCAAAATATTCTTGTTACAGCACTAAAGACAATTATATGTATATATAAAAGACATAAACAATTATTCATATCATTTAAACTGTGGTAAAATCGTACTTGTGTTTTCTTTGACATAACCACAGGTTTTTGGAACTCCATGTGTATGTCCCTCTCCATCTTGATAATGTTCCCAGCTGAGTTTAACATCAGAAGACTTATAAACTATCATTGTTTGATTATCTAAATGTGGAAGATGCCTCCAAGATGGCTGAAATAAGTTCATTTTTTATTTTACTACAAATTTATACAGCATATATTTTATATTTAGGTAGCGGCTAGTTGAAAAAAATCATTAAATATCAGAAATTTTTTACTACTATACTTATGTATAGTAGTGCTTATATACTACTATACTTTTGACTACTACTATACAGTTATATATACTTACTTCAATATGAAAGGTTTCATCCAATATTGTTATACTACCTGTTACGATACCATTATCAATGTGCACCTGAGCATGAGATTCAATCTCACCAAACACACGACCATGGTAAAAATTGTCATAATCTATATAAAATACAGATATTAGAAAATGGCACAATGATTTTCATTTGTCTGTTTTAATAAATATATATTTTCATACTTAAGTGTATAGTTTTCTCTTTTCCATCAGCATCAACTTCGTACGCCCTAAAATTGGAATGTATAACTTCTCTTTTAGGTGTCAAAATTAACCGAAAGTATCTGTGATTAAAAGAAATATTATTAATACATATTCACTAAAATAGGATAAGATTTTTTATAACAACTTTTATTTTGGAAGAGTCAAGTGTTTTACCGTCCATGTGAGTAAAATTCTAATTCACTTATTTTATTATAAGGATGGTAACTATGTTGGATGCCCCGTTTTACAATCCTATGTTGAAGATGAGTACTATGAATTGTTTCATAATATTTCAAGTTTCTATGAAGTCCATCTGTTGAAGCAGGAAATTAATGAAAATTTGAGTAAATAGATAACCGGCTAAAGCAATTGTTATATCGAATTGTAACATATAACTCACAAACACTTTGAAGAACAATAAAAATGCAGTAGATAAGTGATATATCTCGTATTTTCATTGTCAACAGAGTTACAAGTTATGAGAAAAACTAAAGGCTTCTTCACTTTTATACGTTTATATTCTTGTCGTTTTCCAAATTACTGTGTTATCATTTGCGATGTTGAGAATGTATATACGAATGTTGTAAAAATTGTCACCAATACACACACACGATTTCATTAATATCTTTGACGTACTTTGTCCAAAAATAATTTACAACAAATAACATAATAACGTGCATAAAAGAAATTATTATTACAGTTAATTTAATTATTATTTAATTTGTGATATGATTTGTGATGCCTGTTATTTATTATAATGACATTTCTAGGTTATCAAACTGCTTTGAGTCTGTTCTGTAAGATATGAACAAGTGTCGACATCTTGCAGCTAGAAGCATCACCAACTGGCAAATTGCGATCGCCGACAGCGACACCTACCATTGATTGCGTTCAGCAAAGAAAGCTGCTTTGCAACTGTTGTAAAATTCGTAAATCTGATTGGTGTATGCTCTTAATTTTGGTTAAATCCAAGAGCATGTACCAATCAGATTCACGAATTTTACAATGCAAAGCAGCTTTCTCTGCTGAACGCAGCCATTGATTTTAAGAGCGCGCGTGCAATTGTAACGCATGCGCGAATCTCGGCGCGCTTTAACACACGCCATATAACCGTTGTTAAATATAAGCCCTCTGTTCCTTCATGTTTCTCCCGCCCGTTTTTCAGTGTAATTTTGCACGTAAATCTGTGTGAAAGTAACGAATTTATTTATCCAAAAAGCAAGAACCTATAACGAGTATAAGTTGAACGTTACATCAAGTTTCACAACTTTTGAATACGCGCGAACTTGCTATTCAAATTGCTGTTCAATCCAGGTTAGTTCATCTGTTATTACGTGAAATTCTATTTCCTATAACAAAAAAACAACTTTTCCAGATATTCTGAGATATTCTTCAGACATAAAACACAAAGTAATTTTAATTATATTAAACTGTAATATTACTTGCATATATAAATATTAAATGTATGAATGTTACTATGTTTAATGCGAATAACTAAACAAAATGCAAACAACAATTTTGTTAAATTTAGTAAGAATCTATCGTTAAAAATATATATAAGATATATGCATTTTAGAAGAATTTGTGAGAATATATTACAATTTGTGAGAATATATTACAATTTGTGAGAATATATTACAATTCACTACATACTGAAAAAAATATGAAACATCAATAGAAAGACAATAGACAGATGATTGTAACTATATTCTTGTTGATGTCAAAATTGGATATTACTAGATTAAAGTATCATTGTAACAATTGATATGGATCTAAATCTAATACAAGAAGATTAATATCTTGATTGACATATTGCTTATTCTAATTGAGAAACTTTGTTTCAAGCGACTACTTCAAGGACTTGATGAATAATGGCTATGCATAATGATCAAACAAATTTACTCTGTACTCCACGACGTGCCCAGAAATGTCTATTTGCACCTAGTGGCAGTTCTTGCAAGAAGAACCTGTCTCAAGACTCAAGTTACAACAGAGACATTGAAGTGATCTCAGAGGAAGATTCAGATTTAGGACCCATGTCACCCCTAGCTCTTACTGATCGAAGCCCAAGTAGCTGTGAGAGTTCTCCAGGCAGAGATTTTGTTTCTCCTCTCGCGACACCTGAAAAATCACCTTCTTTACCTGTTACATCTCTCTCCTGGGATCGTTTGATACCAAATGGGCGTAATACGGAAGATTACACATCGTTCAGCTCGCTCAAGAAACTCAGCAGAGCAGCTAGATACTCACCGAGGTGTAACGCAGCAACTAATAACTATCCTAAATCTATGTCGCCTTCTCCAGTCAAGCAGATTATGGAATCATTAACACCTAAATGCTCAGAAATGAGTGCAATGACCGATGAGATAATACCAGATACACCTCAGAGAAGCTTCGCTACTGAAATTCAAAATCAGAGTATCACGGAGACGCCTCGAAAAGGTGGAACTCCTGGTCAGCACAGGTTGATCACACCCTTGGGTTCTATAACGAAATCAGCGCTGTTGCCGAAATTACACAGACGGAAGTCTCTTGGTACGCTTGAAGCGAACGAAAACATCTCTCCCGAGCAAAAGGAAAACACGTTGAAGAGACACGCACGCGATCAACTGTTGATAACTCCAGCGAAGCTTTTCAAGGCGGACGACACTTCGGCGCCTCGAGCACGTGCGGCACTGTTCCAAGAAAAGAAAACAGAGGCTTCCGCGATTAATATGTCGTTGAGCACAAAAACGTTTTACAGCAACAACAGAAAGTCTGAACGAGCTTTTGTTGTTAACAGTTTCAGGGATAATGACATGAAGAGAAGACGGAGTTTACCAGCACAGAGCAGCAGCAGCAGACGTTCATTGAAGAAGCAGAGATTTGGCATGATTAACGTCGGTGTGTGGCACGGTATCAAGAAACCGAAGTCTAAACTGAATCCGAAGGCATTGAAGAAAAAGGCCCAGCAACTCGCGCAGGATGCTGAGGTCTCAAGCGAGAATCAAGAGAATAAGAGTCCATCCGCGGAACAATTTCAACCGGTAATGGAAGCGAACACGACTGCGAAGAGAGCTTTTTCGCCGGAGATCGACGAAAATAAACGGTTTTTCAAGACCATCAGATCAAGTCAGGCCGCTACGGTAACAGTGAACAAAAAGATCAAGCTGAAAGTCGCAGATGGTAAGATCCAATTGAATAAAAAACACGGCTTCTCGACGAACGGGCGCAACAAGCAAGGAGCGAAGGCCCTTACGGATGTCCCTTACGACGCCACCGATCTCACCGTGGATGAGCCAGGTGTTGAAGCCACGTTGGAGAAAAACAAGGTCGCTAACATCTTGAAGATACTGGAGGACGACTGGGCGGATGACGATTACGATAAGATGGAGACATTGATCACGAACACCGTTTCCCCATTGAAGTCGACGACGTTACCACAAGACGCGATCATGTCTCCTGCAAGTGAACTCAGTAACATGGCTTCGACAATGAACATCAAGGACGTTACTTCCCTAACGAACTTTGGCAATCTTTCGCTCAACAATACAGAGAACAACAACAATCCCGCGGAAACTAACAAGGAGCCTGAGAAAAGATACTTCCCATTATTTACCAAAGGATACACTGCACAGGTTGATCTTCCTAAGTAGGTATTACGAGATACACGCTGGTGAATTCGGGGAATTAATTTGGTTCAATGAAGTACATATTTTTTCTCTTTTTCAGGCAAACTGAGGGGATTAGTAAATCGACGAAGAAAAGCACGCAGTGGCAGCTATCTGTGAAAGGCGGACAAGATCAGTATCAGTTGGATGCTGGTCAGAAACATTTCGGTGCTACTCAGTGTCCAGAGTGCAATGTTGTGTATCAGTTGGGCGATGCAGAGGACGAAAACGCTCACTTGAACTATCACAATAGCATACGGACTTTGAGATTCCAAGTAAGCTTTCACATCTTTTGTATCTCATTATTATGTTATTAAAAAATTTCGAATCTGAACTAATTCTCTAAAGATATATGATGATATATAAATGTTTTATTGCAATAGGGATGGAAAAACGAACGTGTCATGTCGGAAGATCCTTTTACGTCGAGCAGAGTAATCCTGGTGGAGCCGAATGATCCTAAACAGTACTGGAAAAAAGTGTCGGACATCCTGGCTGTTGTAGATAGAGATCTAGGATTGGCGGATATGAAGCTGTCGGACTATGAAAACAAGAAAGTTAGTATACGTATGTTTGTATCAATTTTAAGGGAAATCTGGAAGGAAAAAATGTATCTTCCTTTAGGTCTTCCTATATATACGCGAGAAGAATGTACTCGGAGTGTTAGTAGCGGAGCATATTAAAACGGCACATCGCATGATTCCCGAGCTGATCGAATTGGATTGTTGCACTGCTGAAAGTACGCCTACGAAATGCGGTATCAATGTAGTTTGGACTGCGATGAGTCATCGTAGGCAGGGCATAGCCACTAAGCTCGTTAATACTTTGAGGTGAGACACACAAATATTATAGTGTGGATAAATCCCTCACTGTTATTAATTTAACCTTTACAATACAAACCAATTAAACGCATATTTCAGGGCCAAATTCTTCTACGGTTACGTGATGTCACTGGATGATATAGCGTTCTCAACACCATCCCCGAGCGGCAAAATCTTCGCCGAAAAATACACGAAAACTCGGAACTTTAAAGTTTACAGCTAAATCGCAGATTCGACATACATATTTTGTTATTTTTAAATTTCCTTTTTGCAGTTTTATACATTTCGTATTTAAAAAATAAACTTTCTTACTATTATAAAATTAATATATTTATTAATTTGTGTTTTTAAATATTTTATATTAATATAGCAAAGTATACATTTTTTTCAATACAAAAACTAAAAATTTAATATATAAGTTTATAGTTATAGATGCTAATGCAGGCTATTTCAGACTGTTGGAAATAAGTAGTAAATTTAGTGATAAATATGTGAACTTGGATACATTATTATTAGAACAGGTACAATTAATCTAACTAACATTATAAAATTATTTTCAAGATTTGTGCCATGATTGATTTAAATTCTGTATCTAGTTCTATCTAATTCTGTGTTCACATACACCTTCATGCACCTATGTAATAAATAAATAAGAATAACATAGCGTGAGAAAAGTTCTGCCTTATATTGTTGGGTATATCACAGTAAACATCTAATGTATGTTTTAGGAATAGAGTATTTTTTAATAAACAAATTTAATACTCTGGCAACTTTACTAAAGAAACTTATGATGCTATTTATTATTTTTATTTTAAACATATATAAATGAAACAATATATTTCTCTCTAACAGTCGTTTATAAATAGAGAAGTACATTGTATTTAAAGTTAATGAATTAAAATTATCTGAATAAACAAATATAAGTAGAATAACTTTAGAATAAGCGTACGTTTTGTGGAAAAATAGACGCAATGCGAAATTAATATAAACTTCTTTTATGTCTTTACAAAATTTGTGAAAATCCTATTTTAGCTTGTATTTAAATTTACCGTTAATTGCACACTATTAACTTTGTAAGACAGGATTATATATATCGCCAATTTGACTATATAATAATTTAGAATTGTTTGATTTAAAAATACATTATAATACAAAGATTTGTAATGTATTTCGTTGTATCAATTGCATACGCCACTCCTTAAAACGTGGTACTGCTAATCTTAAAGTTGAAACCTTAATGAAGTGCTGTAACTACTAAATCTAAATTACCTATTTATCTTTGGCGATTAATACAAAAATAAACACTCCATTGTCTCCTCTGAGAAATCGTACAATCTAAATAAAAAAAGAAATCGCGATGTATCGCGTAAGAACTCTTCTATGCATAAAATGAGGATTGTCTTTCTTTTTGTACTTTGTACTTTGATAATAATAATGTTTTTTAACCGTAAAGTACATAAAGTTTCTCAACCTTAAAGTTACATAGTGTCAATCACATCATCGCATTATTGATCAATTAGATTTTACCAATTTCTATAACGATTGCGACCTCCACTGAAACCTCCTCCTCTTCTGCCCCCCTCTTGTGCCTTTTTGTTTTTCCACGCTTCATATCTCTCAGCCATTTTATATAATTCCTCAGGTACCTCCTAAAGTAAAAACAAGCATCTATAATGTATAAATGATGGGAGATTTTTAAAAACAAAATCAAGAGAGAAAGAGTGTGTCCCCCCCCCCCTCTGCAATTTACTGACTTGATGCGCTTCTTCCAGGATTTTGATAAGTTCCTTAGCATGAGACCAGTCATTTCTCGTCATGTAAGTAATACTTTCGCCTGTGCGACCCGCGCGTCCGGTACGTCCGACTCTATGAACATATTCTTCTATATCTCGTGGGAAGTCATAGTTCAGTACATGTCTGAAATGAGAACAACAGCTTTTAGCGATATTTTTTATTCAGACTTATTTAAAAATCCTACTAGTGTTGACTGACTCGGTAGAAATGGATAAGTCACATTTCAATTACTGATTTAATATACTTTCTTTTTATATGAAATTTTCAATGTAACATACGTAACATCACCGATATCAAGCCCTCGACTAGCCACGTCCGTTGCAAGAAGAATTTTAACATGTCCGGTCTGCATATCTTCTAACGCTTGCTCTCTATCCGCTTGTTCCCTGTTGCCGTGAATGCTCTGACAATTGATATACGATAAAGCTAATAGAGCAGAGACATGCTCCACCGAGGCTTTCCTGCCAAAGAATACTATCACCTTGTCGTCGGGACCCATTTGTCGAAGGAAATCAAACATCTACAACGCATTTCATCTCATTAACATCTTTAGATAAAAGTGATTATGAAAGTGAATGGTGAGTAAATTTTAAAACGCCATTAACCATATCCATCTTCTCCTCTTCATCAATCAAACAGATTGTCTGTGTTACAGTGTGAACTGCCGCTAAATCAAGCGATCCAACGAATACTTGAAGCGGATCTTTCATGTATGATTGTGCTAAACGTCTCACACCTTGAGGCCATGTAGCACTAATAAATAACAGAATAAAATATCGTGTTAATAGTCATGATTATTAATTGCATATTGCATGGAAATTATTTTTTTCAAAAGTTTGCCTTATGACTGTTTCTACCAACGTCGATTAAACCTTAACCTTTGTTTAAGTTTTTATTTAGGTCTTTGTCTGAATAGATTTTAAGCTCGGATTAAAATTTAATCGAAATTAGGAAAAACAGACATTAAAGGGAGAAGTTTATAAATATATATATAAACATATACCTTGTCATAACTGTTTGTCTAGTAGGTCGTATGTCAAGCAAAACTTTACGAATTTGCGGCTCAAAACCCAAATCCAACATACGATCGGCTTCATCGAGGATAAGGTACGTTACGTAGGACAAATCCAAGACGTTTGCCGTTATCAAGTCGTTTAATCTTCCGGGAGTTGCAATTACTATTTCTACACCACCTGTTACCATATTAATCTGTTCCTTGCGATTTCCACCACCATACACGCATACCCTGAAGTCATTTTTTATTATGTATATTTTATGAGAAAAAAATTATATTGTCCTAAAGCATCTAATGCTAATATAAAATAAGATTCTTGACCTCTCGCTACGCATATTTGATTGTTGCCATCAGAAACGAACATATGCGTACCCAAAGTTCTCAGGAGTCATAATAACAATATAAAAATATCAAAAGTTATTTCAAATGAACTTACGCTTTAATGCCGTGATAGGAATATTTTCCTACTTCCTTTTCAATTTGTAATGCCAGTTCTCTTGTTGGTGCCAAAACAAGAACATTTGGTCCTTTGCACCTTGATTGTGAAGTTTGCCCATCAATGTGGATAAGAGCAGGCAGTAGAAAGGCAAGAGTTTTTCCTGAAAATATAATCGTTAGCATATACACTATTACATATACGTAAAACGTAAGACAAAAATAATTGAACCAGTTCCAGTTTGTGCTATTCCAATAAGATCATGACCACTCAATAGAATAGGCCATGCCTGACATTGTATAGGACTTGGTTTTTGAAATCCTTGTTTTCGTATCTCACGAAGGATATCAGGATAATCCTGCATCAAAACATATTAAATCAGATAGGTCAAATTAAACAGATATCTATTGAAGCAACAATTGCATGTGCTACACAAGCTCTTGATTTTCATGTTACCTTAAAAGCTTGTTCAAAATTTTCAACAGGATTCGGTACTTTAATCTTACTGGCCGAGTTCTCAGTCTCAAAAACATGCCTAACTTCTATGTTATTATTATTCTTCCTGAACTGAGCTACATGCTTTTCCGACATATTAGCAACAGCTGGATCTTCTTTGTAAAAATACTTTATAATTGGTGGAAACTTGGCCCATTTTGCTTCTGTGTATTCATCCTATAAAAAAAAATATTAATATAAGATAAACAACAATTTATCATGTTTGCATGACTATGGATGTAACATACACATAATTTCTCAGCCTCTTTCCAGTTAATCGGACCTGAGTTCTTTTCTTCAAGAGGTGCATATCCTAATAATTCCCTTATTCTCTGGATAGTCTGCATATGAACTGTTCTTTTGCCATATATTGATACCATACATCTGTTATTTGACTGCTGTTTCCTAGCCTAAATAACAACACACTTAATCATTGAATATCTAATTAATAGCACTTGTATAATTCTTCATTACTTACAGTAATTTTTGTGTTGGTCTCCTCTTCCAGAGCTCTAATTTGACTTCCACCGACTCCGACAAGTCTACCATAATCTTTTGCATCAATAAACATTATACATTCTCCATTTTCAGAGCACTTAGGGGTATATGGTTGTGCCCTATCTTCTCTAATTTTATTTGCTGATGAATTCTGACTGTCCCATCTATCACGATCATTGTCTTGCCTTCTATTTCCTCTATAGTTCATTCTACAAAATAAATATTCTGTAAGTACTGAATTACTTTTCATTCTTTCTTTCTTACATGACTTACTTAATTGAATAAGCAAATGATGAGAATCGTCTCGATGAGGAAATATTCGTCTTGTAACAAAAATTTATTTCGGAACACTGTATTAGATATCACGACCTGTAGCAAACAATAACACGTGTAAAAAAAAAAGAAAAACAAATACGTTTCAAACGTGTCCTGTTTAGATTGTCTTGCACTGCTACGTAGAAATATAGTGCGAAGACTGCGCGCGAAATATTCAAAACTTTGGAAGTAATAGTAGGAGCGGATTGAGCAATCAACGAATTCAAACAAAGAATCCATGCCAGAGACATACAAGTGGCAGCTAACCCAGTAATGTAGACGATACATATGAATATGGACGCGAATGTCTAATGGATTCAAATTTAATAAACTAGACGAGTAAATAAATCAGTATTAATAAATGTATTTGTTAATATTATTTACTAAATACAGATACAAATATTCAAGAGAAATTACTAAAAAACAAATAACAGACCAGAGGATCTTCTTCTTAGAAATTTGATACTTCACTGAGATTACGTTTAATATGCATGTGCAGTACATACAGGCTGTTTCAAAATTATTTATAGCGCTAAAATTTATAATATATTGTAAGATATTGTATGTGTAACATATTGTATTGTAATATATTGTATGTGGTCTGTTTTTTCAGCTGCACTGCTGAACTGGTGCAATAACTTAGAATGAGACAAATATATTTTATTTCACTTTAGCTTATTGCACCAGTATAGCAGTGCAGCTGAAAAGAACAGACCAATAAACTATAACTTTTCAGTGCTGGCAGTGAATTTTGGAACACAGCCCTATGGTGCGTAGCACCAGAGAGAAACCTGAGAGCGGCCACGCCATACGTTTTGGCCGACACCGATTTTCACGCTGTTCGATGCGCCACCTATACCCATTTTTTAGGTGAAACTACGTTCCCTACGCCCATTTTCAAACGCTGCCGGTAAAGTGTCGATTTATTGCGTGTCCATTCTATGCCCATTTTCTGGCGATTCGTGTCCGTGTTAAGTACATAATTACGTGATTGAAAACATGGACTGTCCATGTTCTTATCATGTAATTATGCGCTTAACACGGACACAAATCGCCAGAAAATAGGCATAGAATGGACACGCAACAAATTGACACTTTACCGGCAGCGTCTGAAAATGGGTGTAGGGAACGTAGTTCCGTCTCAAAAATGGGTGCAGATGGCGCATCAAACAGCGTGAAAATCGGAATTTCTCTCTGATAACTGTTTGTGTCCGATAGTTTTCGCGAGAAAATGGCCGCTATCGCCACATATTTTCATTATGTTTAGTCGTAAAATTCTTTTGTTGAAAATGAGCAGAGCAAATAACGTCCAATACCATCTATTTTTTTGTTACATTTTTGATGCAATAAGATGCTGGCATTTTTGGTTTTACGACAGTAATTTAATGGCTACGTTGACTCATGTTGTACGTGTAAGTACTCACACAAGTGACACATCACAACAACGTCACACAGGACTGCTGCCATTTTCTCGAATGCAACCGGAAATCTTACGCGACACACGTTCGAAGCCCTTGTTAACAATCTAGTATAGATATCTGAGGGTAGAAGTGGGTGTGAGACCTCTTGTGGAGTACCCGTGAACTACGGTTTTATTATATTTCCAGAATTACCAACCGTCGATTATCTGCTGAAATCAAGCACTTTTCAATTATCTTTTGAAGGCGCTAGGTAGTCATGTAGCTTCCATAACCAATATCAATAGAGGGACACGCACTTATTTATTCAAATACAACTCCAAAGTTTACATAGGTAATTGTACGCCAAGTGGAAAACATAGGTGGACGATCGGAATAATAATTGATAAAGAAGCTCGTCCCGTTTGCTTTTCGTTGCTTTCCAAGCTTGAAAACGTACGTGTAAATGCAGAAAATTTGAAAAAGTACAGTTTAATACAACATACCTATTGAGAAACGAATTTTGTAAGCTATGAATTAATTAGCAGAATTAATTTACATCAGGCGTTTTAATGAGTAAAGAAACTCGTCGAGATTATGCATTTTCGCGCGATCGAATTTCGGTATATACCGATAGATTTGATGTTGAGCTCTTCCCAGATAGCACAAAGAATTCTAAAAGAATTCAGTCGTATGTCACCAATTCTGAGTTCATTTTTAGATACAAAAAGAATTCTTTTCACTGAACTGAACTCTGAAGAATTCTTTTTACATCTGAAAATTAACTCAGAATTGATGACATACAACTGAATTCCTTTTGAATTCTTTTTGAATTCTCTGTGCTATATGGGTTAGCTTAAAGTAGTAAAAAGATATATAAAGAAATAATGTTCTTGCGTTGAAATTGCGTATCACTTTGCATGGACTCTCGTCCCTTCGCACTTTGCCACACGTTAAAAGTGCTTTCATGACGTTTATACTAACATTTCAGAAAAATTCAGAATTAATTTTATCCGTATTCTACGAAGGAACTCATATAGTATCGATTTTATTACCGTGTCATTATCCAGTAATATAACACTATCAATAACATACCAATGATAAAATTCTCATTCAACAATGTAAGTGCAACATATAACGCGTACATCCCGTACAGCACAAAAGTTTCAAAAAGATTTCAGAAAGATCCCAGAAAGGTTTCAATGTTTCTGAAAGCTTTTTGAAACTTCTGTGCTATATGGAATAACAGTTACATTGAGCGTGGAAACTATAACACTGTTTTAATGTCACTGTAAGTTGGCGTTCATTACATAGATACATCGTGCGGCTACACGTCTTTGTCGGAGGCAACTGTACGGAGGCGATACATGGGGCTGCGCAGAATCGTATCGGCTAACACGAGTTAGACGAGCCGTATTTAATTGTGCATCAGTGTGAAAAGGGACCTTGGAAAGAATGTTGTCGATAGTACGTACGGTCTCGTCCTCGATAATTATTCTTTTAATGCTCGAGTGTTATTCGGGTGAGTGGTTGGAACGGCATCGTCGAAAATCACGAACGACGTCGTGTAGCGCGCGCGAGCTCGCAGCTCGAATCGAGAAGTGTCTGGAAGAACTTCGTTGGCATCACGATCGCAAATCGGGGTGATCGGGGACGAATACGACGTCACGACGGTCACTTTCGACCTCAAAAATAGCCCGACAATTCCGCCGAATGAGCGTTCGACGTCGAACAGTTGCCGCAGAATTTGTTCTCGAAAATATATCGTGCGATCATGCGCGATTCCACACCTGTCTCTTTTTATTAGTGTGCTCGATATTTTCAGGTGATCGAGCAATTCGGACAGTTCGAACTTCGAGATCGAGCCTAAAACCATTCGGATCTGTCCGAAGAAGCAACTCGAACAGTTTGAAGTTGCCCGCACTCCAAATTCGAACGGCTTCTTCCGAACAGCTCGATCGCATGATTCGCGCACGAATCTCTTGTTTAAATTACAATTTTTTTTCATTACCTTAACGGGTGCTATACCGCGTTTTTGTGTTTCGCAGGAGCCCGCGGTTCCTCGATTAGGTCCTTGGACGTGCCGCTCGTCGTTCGCAATGGAACCGGACCGGTGGATCTCGCCTGCGTTTACGAGATTGACGACAAAGAAAATGGACTTGTAATCAAATGGTTCCACGAAGCATATCAGATTTACCAATGGATCCCGCCGAGTAATTTACACTCCGATACTCTACCCACGCAATCTTATAATAACTTACGTCTGTCACTCGCGTCGCACGCGCGTTATTGAATTTATTTATCAGCAGCTTTGTTACACGTCGGAACTGTACTTACAGTGTGTACGCACAGGAATCCATCCAAGCGAGAAGCACGCAAAGATATTTTTTCACCGAGAAATTATTAAATGATTAGTTAATTTAATAACACATAACTCTCATTATTAGTTTAACGAAAAAATATGCGTGGTATATAACTCTAACAAAGTATTTTTCTGATAGTTATCATAATTTCACTCCCTAGTAAACATCAACTAATAGTAATATTACATCAATCTTATAATTTGCTACAATGTATCTGTTACATAACACTCGCGTTATCTGCATTTAAATTGCTGAGTGAGAGATTATAACATGATGTTATGTTATTAATAGTTGATGTTTATATACTGATTATTATGTTATTTCGTTAACATAAATTTAATAAACGCACTTATATTACCAGTGCCACCGCAAGACATCGGAGTTATTAAGGGTCTCGCAGAATATCCGGTCGAGAACTTGAGGGACCCGAATTCGCGTTCCGTAATACGACTGAAGACCGTCACCATTGATATGACAGGGGAATACACGTGCGCAATCAGCACATTCCAGGACGAGGCGAGCAACTCGACCAAGATGATCGTCTATGGCAAGTTTACGAAAAATTTTACCCCGGTCGCGGTTATACTCGCGTCGATAGAACATCTATTTTCTTCTATATTCAGACCTAATTATTTCCGAAACCGACTATTTTGATCATAACCAATTTTTTAATTATTTAATTATTATTTAATAGAATGAAACATTCTCGGGGTCTAATCATGGCTCTTTGTTTTCAGTGCCAGAAAGCGACATGACCGTACGCACTTATCCTTTCAACAAGACTCATGTGAATTTAACCTGTGTGGTGACGGGTGCGCGACCTCGACCATCCTTGAAGCTCTACGTCGAAGGTGTCGAGAGTAACGATCGCGGGATCAATCGTGAGTCTTCGACGGATTGGTACAAGAGTAATCCTCGGGTGTCGCTGAACGTGATCGTCGAGGACACGATGGATCCTGCGGTAGTCGAGTGCGAGATGTTGATTCCCGAAACGGAGTACAAGCGACGAGAACGGATCGTCTACTACCCCAGTTCGAATCGTTCCAATGCCATTACCGCTCTTAGAAAAATCTCCACTAAACAAAATTACATTAAACTAAATAATTTACTATAATTTTAGAACGCAACTGTACTATACACACACACGTGTTTATATTTCTTTGATGACAGAATATTTATTAAGTGAACATCTCTTCTATATTTATCTCTGTCTTTATTTTATATATTTATATCTTCTGTATTTATGTTTCAGCGCAATTACTAGCCTATCGCACAAATGTATCACAAGGAAGATACCGCGCGAAGTTGCTTATCAATATCCTTTACGTTACTATTCTCAGATTGATATTAACGTAGGATTAAATTAGTTCAATCTCCGCTACAAATAGTGCTGACAAGTTAAAATAGCAGGTATTTAATGTAATCTAATTTTAGAGCTTAAGTATTAATTCTCTTGGCGCTGAATGATGAAATAATAGTACGCGCTTCTCTTTTTAATAACGTTATTATTATCTAAAATTGTGTGTGTGTTATGATTATTATTATTTATCTTCGCTATTAATAAGATTACACATTCCTTTTCATATTTATTTTACAGTAAAATAAAACACATTCACGTTGTAGTCTGAGTAGAGATGATTTATCGATTATCGATAGAATTCAGATTTGCATTAAATAAACTATAAAATGCATTATTTTATTCATCTGTTAATTTCGACGAACTACTATGTCTCCTATTAGCAGTTTTGTTGAAATTTGCGCATCAAAGTTTTCACACAATTTTGTAATCTCTCTCTCGTTGTTTTTTACAAATTTTATATTCTGCAAAATGTGCACCGGAATATATAAAGAATAATGTTCTTTATCTCGCTTCTTTTTGCACTGAATACTGCAAAGAATGTGTGAATTTTTAAAAGAGATTTCAATTAACTTGCATTTAATTCCAGTTGTACTTTCCTTCGTCTATTCTCGAACTATTCTCGTCAAACTATGTGTAACAAATCTATTTTTATTCTGTACGGCTCGTACAACAAGATTCCATTAATACAAGCTGTTGATTTATTTATATTTTTTTTTTTCAAAAGTATAATAACATGTGACACACCGTACGGTGACCTCGATCAAATTGTCAAACGATTTTGTTGTGCTTGCAACTTAACTTCAAGCACGTTCTGATATATCGCTATATTGAAATGATAAGGCGATTGCGTGCGTCGGGGGTGGAAGAGGTAATCTTGGATGGTGGGGATGATATCTAGAAGCGGCGGTACCCCACAAGATTATCATTCGCTTCTCGACGCTCACCTCTAGAGGGTAAGTAACCGCTCGCAACAAATTTTTCACTATCGTAACTGGACAATTCACATGCATCTCAAATTTATGATATTATTTTATTCTCTCGTTTTAGGACGCTATATTCCAATGTAATTTCATTATTAACGCGATCGAAATTATATTCCACTTTCATCTTATACAACTGTACGTCTGAATGACATCGATACTTTGAATAGTCGCAAGCGATTGAAATTCGTTCCACTTTGTAACAATTTTATTGAGGAATCGTTTGCGAGATCATTTTTTTAAATTTCTCACATGTTAATATTTTGTTACTAATACTTTTTATTGTTCAAAACGTAGCATCCACTTCCACCAGCATCACCAAGATCAATCAAATTACTGTTGCACCATCTCTCCGTTGCGGATATTTCACAAAAATGAGTCGCACCTGGATACTGCTTTTCCTCGCAGGTAATAAAAATGTTCATATTACATAAATGTGGGCGCTCCTAAGTTATCAAGTCGCATTTATAAGTGTATTTCTCTGTGCTCGCGTTAATTTCATCCTTTCTGGATTAACTATCAGTTACCACTTATTGTCCAACAAATTCTATTCCTTTCTTACTTTAAAGCAAATGTTCTTTCATCAATTGCATCCAAATGATACTTCAGAAAATGCTGGATATCGTCGGGAAACTTTAACTTTATGATTTGGTGTTATATTTTGTTTATTTATAAAAAATGTTAAAGTATGATTCTCATAATGACATATTAACGTGTCTACATACTCTTTTTTTTAAATTAAGCAAATCTTACCGGTTGCGCTTTATTAATATACAGTATAATATTGCGCGTAATAAAGTACAGTGATTACAAATCGCTGACATTTCAAAGGGATGCTAAACGAGGCTGATAATCACGATGTCTATAGTCTCTTTCGTGTTTACTGGATAATCCGATCAACCGTCCCACCACCAGTAAGCGTAGACGAAGTGGTATCGTCGGATTTCGCGTTGATCTCTTTGTTGAGGACGACGGACTATTGCAGTTTATGCTAAGAATAGCTTTCTAATCGTTCAATGTCTCTGCAGTTTATAATATTTCGGAAATAATAGAAAAAATTATATTACAAAAAACTTGTTTATCGTCGATGATACAGAACGCAAATTTTAGCTTTTATGAATAACTGGCAAATAATATCGGAACGAAGTATAAAAAATCATATATATAGTGTTTCTAGATTATAATTATATTAAAATACAACTAAATATGCTAAATGCTCAATTAAATATTATGAACATCCTATTTTTAGGATAACAATTTTATTAGGAATAATATAATTTTAAGAAATACTTTTCTTTCTCCCTTAAAGACGTTCCATTCGAGAAAAAAAAATATAATTCTTAAATTTATTTTTTTTCAATAAATATTTTAAAATTTAAAAAAATGTTAAAAAAATATTCTAAAAGAGTAATAGGAAAATTTCTTGCATTACAGTTATGACCTTTAATAGATTAACATAATATTTTTTTTCTTCATTTATGATGCGGTGATGTTAAATTAAAAGATCGTCTATCAAAGTTATTGGTGTGTAATGACAGCCTAGAATGAAAATTCTAGAAGTTAAAGAAAGTTTTATAAAGATATGCATTGGCCTGCGTAATATAAATGAGGTAACTTGTAATTACTTGATTGACATTCATTACCGAACATCGAAGCTTCGTCGTCACATCCATAAATGCAACGCGTTGTGGAGGTAGAAGAGAGAGAGAGGGAAGAAGGGAGGCGAGAGACAGACAGAGAGAGAGAGAGAGAGAGAGAGAGAGAGAGAGAGAGAGAGAGAGAGGGGGAGGCCTGTATGAAACTTTTTTCGCGTTTTATTTTCTAAACTTTCTCACGTCTGCTTATGCGTGATACAAATAATTATTCCAATCTCAAACTGAGCCTCTATATTATATTTGTGTTTGTGTGATTGCTCTTCCGACTTTTTAATTACATCGTCGCTTATTTATATACGCAGGATGATACTGAATTTTTTTGTGAATTATTTATAAGTTATTTCTGTGTAGATAGAGTCCTTTAACAAAATTATTGTTAGTTTAGAAATGTACGTCACGTACGTCATATAGTTTAATGTTTATTTCCAAATATAATTCTTAGCTTTCATTAAAAAAAAAATTATTATTATTATGACGTTTGTTCCTTTTTCGTACGTGTAATACGTACGTTAATTCTCGGTTTTGTATACTTTTTACGGTTTTTAATACTTTTTTCGTACGTTAATACTCGGTTTTAATGTTTAGTTCCAGAATTAATTGCACTAATATTTGCAGTGTGCACGCTGTGGTCCTTCGGCGAGACGGTCTCTTGCGATCAGTGCGGGCGAGAATGCGCCGACATCTGTGGAACACGGCAGTTCCGTGCCTGCTGCTTCAACAACATGCGGAAGAGACATTCTTCTGATTTCGGTCTGAAGTTCTGGATGAGACCACGAAGATATGCGATTCATCTGTACCCGGCCTATGACGCTTAATCACCGCGCAGTACACATCTATTCAAGTGGACGAAAATTCCTCGGCAGAAACCAATTATCGTTCAATGCTTATTTTATTTCGCGCCGTTCGATTAAAGACATTCCGATGTCGCCTCTGTTTTTTCCTCGGCCTTTTGTAATGATTCGCTTGTCGATGCCGCTTAAGTGAAATTAAAGGTGTTACGTAGCAGCATATACATTTGGCTACGATTCTTTGATTACGATAGAAAAATTTCTCTTTTTTTTTTACTTTCGCCCGATTTTATATCGGTGTCTCGTCACCTTAAAATGCATATATTATTACATTATCTTCAATTATTTAAACTCGCTGAAAGAGTAAAACGGCAACAGGCACGCATATATACACAAATGCATACACATGCATACAAATAATTATATTTTTATTAGAAATACGATTTCAATTGTTTATATCTGTAGAAATTTGTTTTTTAATACAAAACTATAAGATTTTTAAATTATATACATATACATACTATATACATTATGCATATAGTATACATTTATAAATTTACACACACGATTAGAATTTCTTTGTCCTACCTTTTTCTTTAAGTTCTCTCTTTTGTTTTTTCATTTTATTCGTTACCTTTACATTAGGCGCAACAACTGTCTTGTAGATATCTGCGTTACTGAACAGTTTTTCTTTATGCTTCTTTCGTCGTTTCGATCTATTCAATTTGACCTCGACTGTGTCTTTCAATATTGTTCCTTTCTTCTTTCTCTTATTTTTTAATTCTTCCATCGTTCTCACATCATCGCTGATATGGGCACGTTTGCGTTTTTTTATCGAGAAAGTTTTAGTGTCACGTTCATGTACCTTCGGCAGACTTGCTTCGAAAGCTTCTCGATTTATCACTTCTGTAAAATAAAAATTAAATGGTGGATCAACATCAATCTATGGGTAGGTAAAATCCAACTTTAATAAATTACGAACGCATTGCAAAGAGAACAAAAAGTAATTTGAAATAACTGATTTATGGTGGAATAAACACAGTGACTAATTTACATTTATTGGCCTAAGTCTTATCACAATTTTAAGATTCTATTTACGTTTTGTTATTAATTGCGATTTGTAAATGTGACAAATTATATTAATATCATTATATTTTATACGTAATTTTTAGTTTCGACTGTATATGTACCTGCCATAAGCAGTTGTAATACTTTTACTTCTGTGTGTTGGTTATATATATATATGTTTTATCTGTCATGAATAAAATATTTGTTTTTATTATAAAACATAACCTCTCTTCTTTCTGCTTAAAATGTCGAAATATTTAGACTGGATACAAATTTAATTTAATTTTGTGCATCTTTTACATTACACAGCTGTAGTACAAAACATATATATGTGTGTGCAACAATGTCGTATCTTATAATATTACTAGCTAGTATATATACCTCCAACATCATCCATATCTATGTGTGATATAGTTTTATTTTCTGATATATGATGAATCGAAATATCTTTTTGCGATGTACCAATCAATTCACATGTTTCACTATATTGAGGAATAATAGTTATTTCATCTGTACATTCAGCCGAATATTTACTAAGTAGTTTGAATATCGTATCATCCCAGATATCACTATGACAGGTGCTAAAATATAATAAGATATTGTTTTACAATGCATATTGATTGAAATATTAGATAATTGCAGACATACTGTATATTTTCATTATGCATCCACTCTATAGAAAGCCATTGTTCTAAATCATGTGGCAAGGATTGATTCTCTGGAATCCAAGGTAAACCAACATACTGAAGCTTAGATACATATTGATATAATTCCTTGTACCATACACAACACTGTCTAATTAATTGTCTTGACAAGAACCTGCAAAAAAATTGGTGCTGTATTACCAAGACAAAAAAGAGCTTTACAATTCGAATTATTTATAATAATCTCACCAAATCCTGCTAACATTGGCATAAGCAATTAAAGTAATGCTCCATGCATGACCTAATCCAATTCTAGTTTTGAGAAAATGTCCAGAGTATCTTGCAACCTGTTCTATTCTTTCCATAAGTTTTGCAAAACCTTGTGTTCTCACAAGTACATATTCCAATAATTGTCTACTTGGTAAAGTGAGCATTTTATCTTCTATATGAATGTAAGACTTCAAATCTTTATAACTCTCAACCAAAGCCATATTCAAGTAGTTAAGTAGAGCTCTATTTACTTTCTCCATACTTTTTAAGCCTTTATCACTTCGAAACTTGTTCTTCATACGATAAATTAGTCGACTTAAAAATGCAGCTTCCAGATCAAGAATAGTTATTGATTCTAGCTCCCTGATTGCTCTATTAATCATAGCTAGAAATTTCTTAACATCTATGAACAGATGAAAGCAGATAATTATTAATATTTGATACCTAATATTTTTAAGACAAACTATACTATATATAACTGTATATATGTACATAATTATGTACATTATACATATAAAAGTACAATTACATTCGAGTTTTGTAATATTTATCTACGTGCATGTTTATCTTTTACACACATGGATATATATTATACACATGGATATATATTATATGGATATATATTATACACATTTGTAATACTTTACCAAATGCATCTTTGTTGATACACCAAGTTAAGTACGGCGGATGCTGTAACTTATATTTATTCCAAATTACATCCATTTTGCAACAAATTCTAGCAATTACATTTAATTTCTATTTATTTTCTGTTCCTTTCACTTATACATAATATCAGCTGATCAATGTCCTTCTTTCCTTCCTTTAATATTGGCTTAAAAACACCTCAAAAGGTTATAGCTCCAACGTCATTACTCAATTAAGAATTCCATCGTTGATTGTGATGTTGTTATAATATTTATTTGATCTCTTCGATATATTCTTTGAAAATTTCGAACACGTCTATACGCCACGGCGATTAAACCGGAACTTTGCTGATCAATGTCGAACTAACCTCCAAGCTAAATTAAGGTTAGGAACACATAAAAAACGTAAAGGTCTTTCCAAATAAAATTGCACAGTTGCATAATGCAAATGCACGTTTATGGGTGCGTTCAGATTCCCTACCCGGGTGCACTCTATTACTAGAAACACTATAGTATATGTTACATATACTATAGCACTTCTAGTATTAGAGTGCACCCGGGTAGGGAATCTGAATGTACCCTATGATGGCCGTAATCCGTTAACTTATACCGGAATCGTAAAAAATTGACTAATCATAGTCGAATTATAGAAGAATAATCGACTGTGATTGGTCAATTTTTTAGACGCTACAAATGTTTTGAAGCGCAGTATAGATCAATCATGACTTCTTTTTAAGCACTTCAAAGCGTTTGCAACGTCTAATGGATTGTATCTTATGAATAAGACCGGTATATAATACATACCATACTACGTATATATCACTGTATGTAATAAAAGATTAGTAACTAGAAAACAAAGAATGCATTCAACACTGTTGTTTTTTAGCTGATGACATTTTTAAAACTGTTTAGAAATCTCTTATAAGGGTGCTATTTCACGTGTCGTACGACACGCTTTTCGGATACGTTTATTGGTTGGCGAATAGAGTATTTCTAGGTTCTCTGTTCGTCAACCAATGAACGTATCCAAAAAGCTTGTCGTACGACACGTGAAATATCAGCTTAAAGCCCATTCTACAATTGCGTGAACGTGGGTAAGTGGTTGTAAGTGATTACAACAACCTATCAGAGTAAAGCAATCAGAGAATAAAACATTCGGGTTGGTTGACTCTTACGTTCACGACTACGCTTACGCAATTGTAGAATGGGCTTAAGAGACAAGTGAGAGATAAAAATTGTTGCTTTACAATGACTAATTTTTAAAATAATTTTAACTAATTACTAAATAATTAAAAACGATGCGCATGCATCAAAAAATGACGATATATTTTCCGAGCTATAAATTACATTAATATATATGTACATAATTCCATATATATTGCACAATTATATAATTATACACACAAAGTTATGTAGGTGTCATGTGTACTGTTTTCAAACTTATTAAACGTTTTTTCTACAATATGAAGTAATTTATTCTGCCATTGTCTTGTATACCTTCATAGACTTATTGTATTTGGCGTATTTTCTTTTATAACAGAAACTATTTTCTCCAATGTGTTCCTTAAATTACTTTCTCCAGTTTGTTTCACACACAAGCCTGTGTAGTTGTATATAACACACTATTTTAATTATTCCTTAAATACTACAGTATATCTACATTATACTGTTGGCAGATTGAAAATATATAATCATAATGTATTGTATATTATATAATAAAAGTACTTACTGTAATACCTATTTATGGAAGTACATTCAATTTTGCATGAATATCAATTGTTTCCAATAAATCTATTTAAAAAACTTAAATTGTTAACTTCAGTTTTTTTAAAACAACATTAATACATGCTTTATTATTACTTATTCTAAGACCCTGTATGATTTATCTTGACAAACTATTGTTTCCTCTTGTATTTTCTTATACTCAATTTTTTCTTCTACATTAACTATCCTGCATTGTATGCCCCAAGTTATCATCTCCTACCTGTTTTACGCCTGTAATTATAATACATATTATAATTGAGAATATTTACTTTCTCTTGAAGATCCATAGCACATCTATCTTATATTCAGACATGTAACAAGAATAATATTATACTATATTATGCTAAAGACATTATTTTAGCTATGATACTTGCGTTTGAAAGGTGGCTCATAGACTGTTACATGTGAAGTTGGACATGATTTGTCAATATATAGTTTAGGAAATGATAGATTTGGGTTATTGTTGTCCGATGTAATGATTGATACCACTGATGGTTGTTTATTAAATAATTTATCCATAACCTACAGTATGCCAGAAGAAATATTGATTTGCCATATGAAACATTACATAATAATATACAACATACATGCCTTAGTCAAAAAGCACAAATATATATTACATGCACCAAACTCACTTTGCCACTTACATCAAAAAATTTCCAAGCTTGATTGTTAAAATCCTTTGCATGATTTTTTATAATTTTGTAAGTATAGTTTAAATCTTTCATTTTAAGTCTGCACTGAAAATCTGTGGGATTATAATTTTTCTTGGCTAACTGAGAAGCTATTATAGTCCAGAACTGCTTGACTGTAACTTCTTCAAATCTTAATAAATGTTCATGCTGTTTATATGCATCAATAAGTATGAAAACTGCTTCATCTGGCCAGTCATCTAGTAAGTCATAACCATCTGCACAGCAACATATCATTTGATTACAAGATTATTTATCTTTAGACAATAATCCTCTTAACAAAATACAGTAATAAAATATCATACAATTTTCAACAGGTGGAGGCTCATAGTATATCTGCTGAGCCAGTTCGGCGACCCGACATGTATTATTGCACAATGGAAACTCTACAAATAAAAAAAGATATATGTTGAAACATAATTTATAAACATAAATATTTATTTATTTAAATGTAATAATAACATAAAATAAGTAACATGCTTAGATAAATGTTAATTTGTAAGAGTAACACACTCACTGTCAAGAAATCAGTTTTTTAAATCAATAATCTACTTATGTCTTTAAAAAAATAATAATATATTGTACCTCTTTTTTGTAGAGAATTTTGTAAAGAAGATTTCTGCACAGCCCGCCCCGCGGTATGACATGTATCATACAACCGCAATAGAGATTCTACCAATAAAATATTTATTAAATTATAATTTATATATATATATATATATATATATATATATATATATACATATATAGTTATTCAAATAAATAAATGATATATATATATATACATATACATATATATAAAATGAACATAAAACTCCTATGTTGCTATTGTTGTACGATATTTGCAATAATAATCGAGATATTAATTAAAGAAGATTAGTGAATAATCACGTGATATGATAAATGAATAGTGGCGATGTGTGCTGTTGTAAGCTTGCACATTTGGTCAAATTGAACAAAAAAATCCATTATTATTTTGCAAATAGCTACGTCGATTTTTAGCTATTAATGAAAGAAAATTGTTATATGATTATGTACGATAATGTACAAATATTCTTTAATTAATATCTAAAAATCTGTGTAAATATATAAATTATCATTTGCAAAATCATAGAGAACTTTTTTTGTCCAGTTTTACCTAATGTATAAGTATACAACGGCAAACAGCACTACTACAGTACATATATATCGTGCGTGATCATTTACTAATCTTTTTTAATTAATATCTCGAGATTTATTACAAATTTCGCAAAACGGTATGGGACTTTTATGTTCACCTCAATTCGTTTTATGCTCCCACAAAAATTGCAAAAGGGAGCCTGAGACACCCTGTAAAGAGCTGAATGAATTACATAAAATAAGTGTAACTAAGTATATAATAATAAATAATAAATATAATAATAAATAATAAGTATTATAATAATAAATAATAAGTATAATAATAATAATAATAAGTATAATAATAATAATAAGTATAATAATAATAATAAGTATAATAATAAATAAGTATAACAATTACATAAAATAAGTATAACATACATAGATTATAAATATTAATTCACAACAGTGTGACAAACTCACTGTCAAGATTCACACAGTTCAATTGAAATTCAATAATACAATGTATATTCTTAAAAAATATGTTAATAATATATATCATACCCTTTTTTTCTAGAGTATCGGAGGATTTCTGCATGGTCTGTCCTATGACATGATGTGTATGATGTGTATGATTGTGCAGCAATGGAGATGCTATAACAATAAGACAAATATATTAAAATATAACTTATGATTATATAAATTTTCTTAAATATGTTATAGTAATATAAGTAATATCCTTAAATTATAAATATGAATTTTTTTTTTGAGAGAGAGAGAGAGATACATACCTACTGTCAACAACTTACAATTCTTCAATGTGATAAATTTCTTCTTTCCTAAAGAATCAGAGGATTTCTGCACAGTTTGTCCTGTAACTTTATATATACAATCCTTGGGTAACAGAACTGAAGTAGTAATAAAATTGTTATTAAAATAAAATTTATAAACAGACACACATATGTATGTTTGTATATGTATATCTATGTGTGTATAAATTTAATTCTAAATACAACATAAAAAATAACTTATTCTTAAATGCAATAATAAAATAAAGAATATATTTAGATTAAAATAATAATTTACAATAATGTAACACATTTATTGCTAAGAACTTATAATTCTTGAAATTAACATATTTTTTTATGTGCTTAAAAAATATAGTAATAATATATATTGTACCTCTCTTTTCTAAAGAATCCAAGGACTTCCGAATAATCTCTATCGCGACCTGATACGTATCGTATACACACATACGCGTTGCGCTCGCGCGCGCGCACACACACACACACATGCAAGCATATATAAAGATGATTCTACCACAATATAATTATTAAAATATAATTTATAAACACATATATATGTATTAATTTAAGAAAAAATATATACATATATGTATGTATGTATGAATATATATATATATATATATATGTGTGTGTGTGTGTGTGTCAAGTAATAAAATATCTTTTTTTATCTTTCTATAATCTTACGTAGATTATCGAAAAACAGCAATAATTTTCCAACTATATATATATATATATATATATATATACATATATATATATATACATATATATATATATATATATA